AACAAAGAAAAATTGATCATAAATAGCTAATGCCCTAAATAGGCTGAAACAGACAAGGCATCTTGAGAAAATATGCATATTTAGGATATAATTCATATTATCTTGGTTCAAAAAAAAGACCTCATAATCTTGAGGATTTACCTGTTGAGATGGTTGGCAGAACTATCTGGAGCTTCAGACTGCATATTGTACAACGAGCTAGAAGAAAGTTTTCAAAATCCTGGAAGCATACAATTATTTAGTTTCAGGTTGAGTCAACCATTTAGGATAAAAAGAAGCATTAAATGGCTATAGACTTGTTTCTGCTAGGTGAATAGTGAGCTGTGCTGTTTTAAGAAATTAGTCTATGATAACGATGCTATTGCTAACAACAACCTATGTTATTCCTGTGAGCGTGGCTCTCCTGGTAAATCATTTCTTTAGCTTCTGTAAACCCAAATTTATACTGGAGTTGTATATTAACACTGAGTCATTGTAGGACGCTGGATTCAGGTCCAATGTAGGCCAACGATTAGGAGTGATCTACAGAAACCTCATGTTCGTGGCCAGACAGGAACTATCTGTGGGAAGAATAGTCACAACTCACTGTTACTAGATGGCTGGGATAGCATGAAAGTCTTCCCTTGAAGAAGACATATCAGAACACACATCAGTATTAATAGTGTAAATTTGATAAACACTAGTAAAATTGTTTACTTTACAAGAATGGAAGAACCTCGATGTCCACTGACAAAACTCGGACTAAAATATAAGCCCGACCTTAACGAGGTTGAGCCACTTAAATGAACTCAACATAACTAAACATGAATACACCCAGACAAAATCATAGCAAAGCATGATGACACAACACCAACAAAGCAAATTTAGACCCTCACCTGAATGGACATGTCTGGATCAAACTTTTTGGTATCTTGGGATGTTGGAGAACATAATATCAGGAAGTCTCACCACTGATACCCAGGACATCCATCTCCCTTTTGTTAGATCTGTTAGCTTAGCTAATCACTATGATGTTTAATAGGAGAATTTAAAAATGTGTCTGCGATATTCAGGGCACATAGTGGGTTGTTTGATACCAGGCAGAATGGGTTGTTAGAGAATCGGAAGGTGCAACACTCTTGATTATATAAGTAAACAAATAATACTCAGAGACGAGTCCTTTACTGCCAGCCATGACGGGTCAGGAGATTTATTATCACTATGCCACAGATGCATCAATACAAAATCATTGTTCCAAAAAGTCCAAAATCTCCTCGTTCCTTATCATCAACCCCTTTTTATACTTCCCGTTATCCCATTGGTGTGTATTGGGAAGTCTTGACTGACCATGTATTGCTTTGGTTTCACGTCAACATTCTTGCAGGTCTTAGACTGAGTGTGTATTAGACATTTTTAGACCAATCAACCTCATGAACTTGAAGACATCTGTTCCATCTCAGATTTGCAAAACAAGTCAATTAATCACAAATTGTTGTTCTTATCTATCTAAACAGCTTACTTCCCAAATCATATTTCAGTCTAACTTTGTGCTTTGCACATAAGGGAGGAAGGTTATCAGGTCACCATGACCCAGTCAGGCATCAGAATGTTTCCCGCAAAAACAATTCCATAAAAAGTATTTCCACGCTAACATAATCCCTCCTATTCCGCTTTCAAGTGGAATCCTACTTAACCTTAGCAGTTGTTTTTGTTTATGGCTATATTAAGTTCCATGACTACATGTGAACATAATCTCAAACATAAACTCTGTTAGATACGTCTAAGTCACTCAAAAGCGATAGGGATTAAATGGGAGGATAAATATTGTTTTGTGAGTAATTCAACTAAGATACCATTTTCAATACATTGATTAAACACAAATGTCCATTGCTTCCATGATTGTTATTCCATTTGTATAAGATTGAAAATCCCTGTTGGCCTTTTGCCAATTTGGCTGACTTATGTTCTTCCAGGGAAAAAAACTACCTTATGGTCCCCTCCCGCCTCGGGCAACTGCCAATAACTGATTTGTTTGGCACAACTGTAATACAATCATGGATCTACAATGGATCAAATCATAGATATTCATGATAATGTTTAATACATCAGCATTGATACATAATCTTGATGATAATTCATGTAAGAATGTTCATAACGCACATATAATTCAGTATGATTGAGTAGTTGAAGTATTAAATCATATTAAGTAAAGTCTTCGCAGGAATAACTTGTTGCTCAATGCTTGTGCTCATCCATGCATTCTCATACGTTCACATTCTCATTCGTATTCAGACATTCTCACTCATACTGTCTTACATATTCATGCTTACTCACTTTCACACGTGTATTAACTATGTGTAGGCCACCCGTGTTGTATATAAATTGTAAATAATTTGTATAACAAATGTGTGTAGTGGTGTATAGTGTCTTTCCCATGAGTCCATTTTATTCCACCCCAAGTTCCGTTTCAGTTCCTTAAACCCTCAGTCCATTCAACCATAATCGCTTTCAGTTCAGGCATCGAAGTGTCCTTGACCTTAGCAGTTCTTTGAATTGGTCATGGGTTCATCGGTCCAGGCAGCCATGTGCGTTAGTCCGTTCCTGCTCATCCACCTGTACAAAGTCCCCAAGATCCATTTCCTCATGATAGGGATCATACAAAGCAAGGCAGAAAAATAATATAAATGACAAGTTAAAGAACAAATCATACAAATGGATTAATAAATAAATACATAATAAATATTGTAAAGACACACTGTTTATTTTTTCAACATTAAAAACGTTTATTAGGATTGTGTAGGAAAAACATTGATATGTTTTATAAATATAGTGTTTTGTGGTAAATATTATTCCACCATTTTATTAATGTGATTGGCCAGTTTGGATCAGGCTTCATATCAAGCTATAAGAATGATATGCTGACAAAATGTCTGACAAAATGTCTCAGACCTGCAGGCACTTCTACACACAGGCTAACAGAAGTGGCTCTTTGGCTCACTCGTGTATTGCCCTGTTTTTTATTCCAATCTTTTTTTAATTTTTCTTTAGGCAGCAATTTATTCACATATGTATATTTATTATTATTGATACTTTGATTAAAGATGAGTTGCACAAGTTTATGTCATTGAGGAAAGGGGTGGGGGAAGAGGGTACGTGATGAGATGTTTGCATACAACTCAGAAAGTATGTAGTTGCGCCCCTGTTCATCCCCATCCATTCATTCTTTCATTCATTCATTTAGCCTAGTGTTAGTTCACACACACACACACAAACATACATTTTTGACCTATCATTCAGAATAGTGTGTCTGTCTGTGTGCTATGTATGTGATATTTTAGTGGTGTATATGTGCAATTTCAGTCTTGTCTGTGTACAAGAGAAAAAAATGCATGCGGGTGCAATATTTTATTAGTGTACGTGTACAATCTTACTCTTTTATGTGTGACTAAGATTGTACATGTACACTAATACATGCACAAAAAATTGTATGTGGGATATTTTAATATTTTGTGTGTGAGACACCCGTGTGTGAGACAAAACTTAGTATTATCTCTTAAGCCTGACAAGAAAAAGTAAGTCACCAAACACAGGTTTCCAACACGTAGTGTGTATTTCTCATTTTGCTTTGCTAATAATATAAGAGGAGGGAAGCTGGCAGGTAGCAGGACAGAATGATTTCCTGAATATTTGGTTCCCCCTCGTAGCTTCGACAAATACAAAAAAACAATGTTTCCATTCTTGCAGGATTTATTGTTGATGATGAGAGAAATGAGCAGTCAAAGACTTGCTTATCAATTAATTTGTTCCCATGTTATAAAGGGGAATGGATTATTATTACACCTCCATAACTTGGGGAAATAAAAAGCAACTGCTTCTAAATACTCCAAGATTGTTATGGCAGCATGTAGTATACTAATCTGTCATATTTTACGTCAAAAAGGAATTTTTCAGTCTTCATTTTTGTCGTGCTATCAGTCAGCTTCCATCCATCCATCCATCCATCCATCCATCCATCCATCCATCCATCCATCCATCCATCCATCCATATCCATCCATCCATCCATCCATCCATCCATCCATCCATCCATCCATCCATCATCCATCCATCCATCCATCCATCCATCCATCCATCTGCTTAGTTCTTGTTGCGGTATGGGTGAGTTTTGGGGATTTTGTTGATGTTTTGTTGTTAAACTGCCTGTGTTCTGCTGTCTTTATCTTGTCAGCCGTTGTTGTTACCTTGTGATAAGTGTAGGACAATAATACTTCTAAGCTGGGAGGGTTCACCTCAATGAACAATCAACCAGAAGTTTCAGATATAAAACAATGTTGCTATCAGATGACAAACTTACAAAGCAACAGAATCCAGAGTTTCTAAGAAATGCATCGAATTGTGTGGAAGATTCTGAACACAACCACACTTTATAGAAGGGCTTTATAGAAGTTAAGAGAGTTTGAGGCAACACAGGAAGTGGAGCTGCAAAAATAAGTCACTTGCTCCACAGTCAAGTCTCTACAGAATGAAACACATATTTTCTCCTCAAATCCATGAACTGTGGGGTACGTGTTACCCTGCATCTCTGTATGTCAGATAAAGATATCAAACCTGTACTTAGTTCTCACACACAAATTAGCACATGAGCATTTGTTAGTCATCTGTATTAATATCTTTAGTTACTTAACTAAACCTTTTGTCTTATGCATGATGTTAACCTGAAAGTGCTCAAATATTTTTAGAATATTTTATCTAGAATGTGCAAATGGTGAATTTATATTATTTAGTTATATTAATTAGATACGTTTCATAACATTTATCTAGCCTATTAGGAATGTAAATAGACATTTATGATTTAATAAAAGCCAAGAAAATTCTGAAGTAATCAAACTACTTTGTTTTTGCAATAAATGAGTCAATACTTATTATCTTCTTCATACTGTCCTCTTACACATTATTTTTAATTTAAAAAAATCAGTTTATCTCTAACTTTAGCAAAGTAGAATAACGTAATATTAGCATAAACTGGGAAATAAAAATTTCACTTTTATTTTAAAAGCCAAACAATTCTTCCAAATTTTTTTATGACCGAACAAGATTTACATTTACATGAACCTCACAGACTAACACCATCTCTGTCAGCCTCGTAAAATAGAACTTATCAAAAGTCCATGAGATGTGTGTATGGTCCGTTGGTGTCCAGCTGAAGCACTTGTCTCTGTCCATATGTTCCATGTCTCACAGTCACCTCAGCTTCCCTCCCAGCAGCCATCAGTTCTTTCTCACACAGTGAGATGAAGGAGCTGTAAAGCTTCACTCCATCCTCTTTGCTGATGTTATTGTGGTACTGCATGCCTTTCCCTTTGGCTTTTCCACCCAGCGTGGCCTGAGGGACGATCAGCAGGCTACCAGGAAGCTCCAACACTGAAACCCTCTTTCCAGAAGGCAGCTCGCACAACCGCAGGTTCAGCAGCGTGTTGACTTGACACAAGGAGGAAGAACATGGGGTTTATAGAGACGTTTCCATTTCTTAAAGATTCAAATTTGGTTTAAAAAAAAGAAAAGAAAAAGATCAAATAAAACTAACCCATCTTAGGCAGGATGTCATCTGTGGCTCCCTTGAAGAAGCAGATGTAGATCACCATTCCTCTGTTGATCTGAAAATTAGCAAGGGTAATCTCAGATGTTTGACAATATTCAGATGAGCAGAGACTTTGTGCTCATCCACCTTCTGCTTGAGGATGCCCCAAAGATGTTTTGTCTGGAGACATGCTTGGTCAGTCCATCACCCTCTGCCTCTTCAATAAAGCAGTAGTCATCTTAGTGGTGTGTTTGGGGTCATTAAGTTGTTACACGGAGAAAGGGGATCAGGTTTTTCATTTTCCTTCCTCGACTTTCTGGTTTTGGCTGCCATTTTAAAGCATTTAAACAGCTGAACAGCCTATCATTTTCTGCACTTCTTTATAGGTTTTTCCCTCTTTTATAAATGTTTTGATCAAAGATCACTTCTGAAATTACTCAGATTACTTGAAGCCATTACTATTATAATGGCTTCAAGCAGAAATTATTTTCTGTGGTTCACTTTGGCAAAATGAGCCTCTGGCTGAAGGTGCTCCTGTGTCCCACCAGCACATCATAAAGTGGATGAGACTCATTTGGTGTGAATGCATGATAGAAATGTCTGTGGATTATTGCTTAATTAATTTAGCAAATTAATTTAATAACCCACACAAAATTCCCACAGTATAGAAATTTTGAGCAAGCGAATGAGTTGATTAATGCCGTTGGATGGAGGTAATGTTAAATAAATGATGTCTAGCTTTTATCAATAGATCACGATATTTATAACTCTAACCCCTGTGTGTCATTTCTTTGTGAGGTCAGTTATGTTTGTTTGTGCAGCTAGTTTGCTTACACTTTTGCCTGAGTTCAGTTTAGTTTCTTTGATCTTTTTTATGAGCTCAGTTTATCTTTTGTCATTTATGATTTTTGGGTTAAAATAAAAACCCTATTTTTTCTAAATATATCCTGTGACTCCTCCTGTTTTAACTCGGTCCGTCACAGGCTTCTTGTATCCATGACCTTGTTCATTCAGTCATGACCTAAAGCTAATGACCATAGATGATAGTAGGAGCATAAACTGACTTGTAAATCAAGCTCTCTCTTCTCCATGACAGACTGGTAGAGCACCTGCTTCACTGCAGACACTGCGCCGATACGCCTGTCGATATATGACTCCATTTTCCCCTCATTTGTGAACAGGATACCGAGACACATAAACTCTTCCTCTTGGGGCAGAACACCATGTCATTGTTTACATCCTTATTGTAAACAGTAAGGATCTTTATTTTATTTGAAAGGTTACAAAAAGATTTCTTTATGTATTTATACAATAAAAGCTGGTTTAGTCTACCTGCCCCCAAAATAAGCCAATACTAAAGTCCTTTGGAGCTGCGGATGCCTCTGACTGACCACTTACTTGCTGACCACCACCAGCAACCGAGGCAGATGAAATGTCTTGCAGAGCAGAGTCTAACCATCAAGAAATCCAGTTTCACAACAATTTGATACTTTTTTTTGTTTACCTTGAATATAAAAAGTTGAACCATAAATTTTGTTAGACTAATTTTGCTCAACAGTTTTTATTTTAAAATAAATACAAAATGAAATGTTTATTTTCCATCATTGAAACGATAACCCATAGAATTGCATGTGCTGAGACTGTTTAATGCTGCTTGATGTTTGCATATATATGTATTACACACAAATTATTGATCATGGTTTTATATTTTCACATAACTGACTGGATATGGATACTGGTTCTTTATTCTATTGGAAATAATCTGAAATTATTTATCATTTCAATGAAAGTGCGTATAAACCTTTTCTTTAGGTGAATATTAGGATTTCCTTCCCTTGCATGTAAATATTGCTTGGTGATATTTGTACCTGGACGTATTGAGCCTCCTGCTGTTCATCCGCTTCTTGAACCTGCAGTCTGGCCTGTAAGCATTGCTGCAGCACCGTCCGGACCAGGCCGCCGCCTTTTGCTGCCATTTTTCACTTTCCTTCACTTGTCTGATCGCACAGCCGGAAACAGAGGGAACAGGAACAGACTTTCAACGCCGTTTTTTTTTTTATTTGAAATAATAACAATGACAAACGCAAACAACACGTCAATAATGAACATTAAGAAAAACATAAGATCACAACTCCTATTAACAACTCTAATAGAAAATAAAGGCTAGAACAAGAGATGAAACATTACAAAACAGAAAAAACAAAATAAATGTAAACGCAGTTTCATTTTAGTCTTCTTCTTCTTCTTCTTCTTCTTCTTCTTCTTCTTGGATTTACTGGCGGTTGGCAGCAACCTTTTAGTAACATTACCGCCACTTACTGGTCTGGAGTGTGGTTCGTGATGGTCAATTATATATAGAAATTCTACTAAATAAATAAATAAATCATATAAAATAATTTATATTCTTTAAAAATCGATTAACTATTTGTAAATGTTTACTCCCTAAATTCTTCCTCAAAATATCGAATAAATAACCTTATCCTTAATACTTTCAAACTCTCTCCTCATACATTTTCTCTTTTTCATATTTATGACATTCTAATATAACATGCTTTATTTCAGCTTTTAAACAGTAATCACATTTGCCAGTAGTATGCTTTTGAATTTTAAAAAGTGTATAATTAAGTCCTGAATGTCCACATGTCAAGCTCATCACCCTTTCCTCCTTCCATTTTCTCTTTTACATGATTGTGAAACAGGGTGCACAGTGTCGCAGTTGGTAGCACACAATTGGTAGCAGTACGAAATAAATCAGACCCAGGACCTTCTTGCTGCAAGGCCTGTGTCACCCTGAGACAGACAGTCTGTGACATAACATATGCGTAAAACCCGCGTCTCTCCTGAAATGCCTCGCTGGAGAGGCATAGAAGGCACCAGCACCCCTGATGACCCCACAGAGATAAGAGTGTAAGAAAATGGATGGATAATTGTGGAACAAGAGATTCTATTTTAACCTGAATAATTCTGACACAGTTAAACATCTGATGTGATTTAATCATTAACCCTTCTCTCCATAACCTATCGTCTGCTTTTTCTACATAAAAAAAAAACACAGCAACAGTTTCCTTATTAATCTGAGCTTTTCTAATATCATCTTCTAAACATAAAATTTCTACATATAAATTTCTACATATAGTTGCTACTTTAAGCAGCAACTATATGTCTTGACTCCAAATATTGTATTAGTCTCTCATTCACCATTCTTTCCATCAGTTTACACAAATTAGATGTAAAAGCAATCATCTGTAGCTTCCAGGATTACTATGATCTTTCCCAGGTTTCTTTATTGAAGTAAAAATGACTTCTTTCCATTTACAAGTTATTCTCCTCTCTTTCCAAATCCTACTATACAGAATTAATAATGTATTTATAACGTCATCACTCACATGTCTTAACATAATATGACACACTTCATCTTCACCTGGAGCACTATTCCTAGTTCGACCCAAAGCTCTTTTCAGTTCTCCAACAGAGAAGGGATAATTTATCAGATCATCACTATTACTCTCCTTCCTTCTTAAAATCCCATCATTTTTCCTTTCAGTTCTCTCTCTTCCCAGTATGTCATTAACTGATGAATTTTCCCACTATGTATCTCCACAAAGGTGCTTACTAAAATATCAACCTTTTCCCTGCCAGTTACTGCCACTGTATTGTTTTATTAAGTATATAACTCCATTCTCTTCAATTCCCCCCATTTTTTGATAATTTCCCAAACTTTCCTGTCTTTGTACTGCTACCAATTTTCTCACAGAAAACTCTCCAATATATTCCTTTGGCTCTTCTTATTGCAATTCTTACTTTTCCCTGTGATTGTCTTATATTCAATTAAATGTTGGAAATTATGAGACCTTTTAACCAATTTAAATGCTTTATTTCTTTCTCTGACTGCTATTCTACACTCATCAATCCGCCATGGAACTAACTTTCTCATAATTTTCGACATGTCTTAACATAATATGTTATGTTAACATATTAACATATTAACACTCCCAACTAAACAGCATGGGAGTGGACCAGCACCTGGTCACCTGGATCCATAGTTACCTCACCAACAGGCCGCAGTATGTCAGGCTGAAGGACACCGTGTCTGACACTGTGGTCAGCAGCACAGGAGCCCCTCAGGGCACAGTGCTGGCCCCTCTTCTCTTCACCCTGTACATCACTCACATGACATCACTCTGACTTCCACTACAACTCGGAGCTGTGTCACATACAGAAGTATGCAGCCATAGTCGGATGTATCAGGGACGACGGAGAGGAGGAGTATCGCTGTCTGGTGAGGGACTTTGCTCTCTGGTGCCACACAAACCACCTGGAACTCAACACCTCTAAGACTAAGGAGCTGGTTATAGACTTTGGGAGGTCCAGACCAAAGCCGAGACCAGTCGTACTGGAGGGAACGGAGGTTGAGGTCGTGGGCTCCTACAAGTACCTCGGGCTGTGGCTGGACAGTAAACTGGATTGGTCAAAACACACCAGCCACCTGTATGGGAAGGTGCAGAGCAGGATGTACTTCCTGAGGAGACTGCGGTCCTTTAACATCTGCAGCAAACTACTGTGGATGTTCTACCAGTCAGTGATCGCCAGTGTCCTCTTCTACACCGTGGTGTGCTGGGGAGGCAGAACATCCAAGAAGGACACGTCCAGACTGGACAAACTGATCAGGCGTGCCGGCTCTGTGGTCGGCATGAAGTTGGACTCTCTGGTGACGGTGGCAGAGGCGAGGACACTGAACAAACTGCTGGACATCAGCAGCCACCCTCTACATGCCGTCATCAGCAGCCAGAGGAGCCTGTTCAGTGACAGACTGCTGCTTCCCAAGTGCCGGACCAATAGATTCAAGAACTTCTTTGTCCCCACGCCTTCAGACTGTACAACTCCTCACTGGGGGGTCGGAGGTGACACAGGACAGAGGGAAGAAGGAGTAGTTTTTCTACAAATGTGAACTCCATATTTATCAGGCCAAACCATACAGTGCAATACCATATCACTGGTCAATCTATCCACCAAATTGCTATAATTTCCTTTTGTGTGTATTTATATTCTTTGTTTTGTATTTAATTTGTATTTTTTGTATTCTTTTGTGTATGCTTACTGTGTGCCACATTTTTGCCTGTGAGCTGCTGGTAACTATAATTTCCTGAGGGAGTCTTCCCAAGGGATCAATAAAGTCTAAGTCTAAGTCTAAGTCATATGTACGGAAGAGGATTAGGGCCACTGGAAAAAAAAAAAAAATGTCCGAAATTTTTTTTTTCAGTGGTTCAGAATAGGTTAAAAAAGAAGAAAAAAAAATTTTGTGGCCCAAAAAAAATAAAAAAATAAAAAATTGTGGCCGAGAAAAAAAAATATCCGGGACAAAAAAAAAAATAAAAAAAATAAAAAAAAAAGAATCTGTGTCAGAAAAAAAAATCTGTGACAGAAAAAAAAAAAAAAAAAAAAATTGGTCCAGAAAAAAAAAAAAAAAAAAAAAAATTGTGACAAAAAAAAAAAAATTGTGGGCCAGAAAAAAAAAAAATAAAAAAAAAAAACTGTGACAAAAAAAAAAAAAAAAAAAATGTCACAATTCGGACTGATGGGCGCCAGCAGCAACCACACAGACGCGAGTTGTAGCGGACAGCCAATGTTCTGGAGAAAATGTCTGATTTAAGCGACTTTTTACGTGCCAGAAGAGTACCAGAAGCGTCCATTGCACTAATGGAAGAACAAAAGGTGAGTAAATCAAATGGGATAGTTCAGTGTCTAAAGCCGAACGGTTACGGCTAGCTGTTAGCATGTTTGTTAGCATACGCGGTTAAAGGAATAAGCTGATTTACAATGTTAGATCACACGGATGAATATAGGATATAACAGCTGTTAATTGCTGGAATTGTCTCTAAAGTGTTTGGTATGTTTATTTTATTGTTGTTCTGTTTGAATGTTTTACAATTAAACTAAGGTTAGCTGTATATGTCAGCCACCTTCTAAATAAGATGTCTGCTGTGTTAAACTGCAACTTTTAGTTCAGTAGAGGACAGAAACTATAGTACAAAGTGACAGACGTTTATATATGCATATATTTAAAAGGAAAATATCATAGCCTTATCCAATTTGATCGACCCTCCATAAACAGAGTGCACAGTTTTGGATGAACTTATTTCAAGCCTTTCTGGTTGATGGTCACTTTACAGGAGATTTTTTGGATAAAAGCCTTATCCAATTCTGCTTTCTTAATCTTATTCAGGTAAAGGTGTATACTGGTACACTGTAATGTTTTTGTTTTATATGAAAAGCATATCTTTTGGTATGTTTACTAGAAATAAAAATGGTTTAAATTTCTTGGGAATGTGTTCCCCTACACTTCTTTTGGTGTAGTTTAAAAATAAGTTTTATCTGTAAATTTTACCATACATTGGGGAATCATTTTATGTGCAGAATAAAATGTTTTGGAATAGCTATTTTGTTCTTGCTGCTTGGTTTTGATTAGAGGTCACTTTCTATAAATGCTGATTAATATATGCCTCATCTTTAGCAAAAGCTACAGTTACATTTTTAGTTTTAAACATTTATGGTTTGTTTTTATGCAGGATGACCTTGATGATGTTGTGAACACATGGAACTCACAAAATCCGGGCAAGTGGGGGTGCAGTATCGGGCCGACCTGTGGTGATGTACTCATTTCCAGAGCTGCACAAAACTGACAGACTCAAACCTGTTTCTCTGGATGAGGTCACTATGTGTATGGAAGAGTGTACACCAAAAGGTCCATATCCCTGTGATGAAACAGTCTTTGAACTTTGTTGTCTGCTTATGGTAGAATGCAACTTGGAGGCCTCAAGAGATCCACTTATTGCTGCTGATTTGTATATAAGGTTAAGAGAAGAAATTCTTCAAAGTATTTAGCAACTTTCAGTGTGCATAAAGATCATTTAAAAAGTGTTGCTATTTATCTCCATCATGCCATTGGATAGTGTTTGCAATGTGATAGGTGCCCTCTAAACAGGGCTTCCTGCTCTACATCTAATTAAAGAATGAAAAGTATGCAAGCAAACAGAACCTTTTTGACATCATTTTACCAGAACATGAAAGTTTATTGCTGTCATTGTTTGTTTGTTGAGTTCTGATATGACCTGACATTAATGTACAAGCTGTTACTGTGCTGATAAAAATTAAAATTGCAGTTTGGTTGACAAGATTTCCTAACCATAGTTTGTTTTGCTTTCAGTCATTTGAAGGAACAATGCTGATGCAAAGTTATTCAATGATAATCAGTTATGAACCAAATGTCAGTCCTTTTAAACGGGTATGCATTGTGATTCATATATTTTTTTTGTTTAAAACAAAATGCTGTTCTTTTAAAGATATTGTAAGTGTATGGTTGAGATGTGAACAAAATGGCAGAAGAGCAAAAAGGATGTCATAAATTGAACACATGGAAAACAATTGTGTGTGAAATAAAAATGAACTTCAATGTTTTGTTTACCAAGTCTTTTCATAATACAATTGATTACAGATATTTAGGAACAGCTGATAAAAAGTCATTTTTTATCACTGTCTGAAATTAGCTAAGACAGTGGTCAGACCGGAAAGTGAGTAATAAGAGAAAGGAAACTGTGCAACTAAGGTCATCAGGCCGTGTCTCGAATGTGTGATGTCCACGTTCAGGACTGAGGTCTCCATACATGACTTGTGCTTTTCCACCACAGCACCCCAACTGTTATTGTTTTAAATTTGTTAAAATTAGCAAAATTGTATTTGCTAAATTTCAAAAAACAAGAATATTTTTTTTAGTTTTTATAACTATCTTCAAATTCAGCAATTTAAATACTTTTGGTTTTAGACCTTTTCAAATAAAAGCCAAGCTTAGTTAACATGTTGAAAACCATAACAGAAAAGTATTGGGTAAAGTAACATTTTATTAGCAAAATATTACAAAAACCATGGCCATTACAATGACCTAACTTTTAAAACAAACTTTCAGATTGATATAACCTTGTATACATCAGTAAGTTAGTATAAAATATATTAAAGCTTATATGGTATCAAAAATAACGTCATCTCAGATGCACAGATAGTACAAGTGCTAATTGATAAAATACACATACAAAAAATTTGTATGTTAACGAAATTTGTACAGGTGTCAGATCAATACCTAATTTTGGAACATGACAATATTGCATAAATTTGTTCAAATAACCTCAGCTTTTCCATTGCATTGTTTTTTTTTCTAACATTAGGAACAAGTAGTTTTCTTCAAAACATACTGAAATAATCTCACAGCTTGATTGATGACAGATGAACAGCACATATGCTTAGTGACAACATTTATAAAATTAAGGAAAATGTTTTCTATAACTTTCAATTGTATTTTTGGATTCAACACCAAATACAAAAGACTGACACCTCAATGTCAATGTGCCAATGTCAAAATCTGTTTCAGAGATGCGCCCTCAGGACAAAAAAGTGTCTTTCCTTCTTGAAGAATGTCTTCTAATCCAGAATCAGTGGCCATTTTAATTTTTCTAGTGCCACCTCCCTGCTTTGCTCTCACCTGTTTGGTAGTTTTTCCATCACTATGTATCCATCCAATCTCAACATTTTTTGTTCCTTTTGGCTTCTTTTTCTGTGTTGTACTTTCATGTGTCATGGTCTCCTGTGGACTTTCATTTCTGTTCTTCATTTTGTCCAGAAGCTTTTGAAGAAGTCCTTGTTTTCTTTTTGACAATGGCTGTTTGCTTTTGCAGTAGTTGAAAACAGCAATTCTGTCTCCATATGAAGATAAGTAGTTTCAAGTGTTGCATCGTCCATGAGACCTACTGCATCACAGTCAATCTGCACAGAAAAAGATGAGAAAGGACAATTATTTACTCTGCAAATCAACGTCAAAGTTACAGTTAAGATTGTACCCTTACGTTTCTGCTTAAAGCAATTTACTGTTTGGGGAGAATTACAATAATAGCAGCAGTAAATGTTAAATCCTCTATTTTACTGAAAAAGAGGAAGGACTGAATTGATTAGCATGCAAGTAAGTATAAAAACACAGATTCATAAATATATAGTCTACTTAAGATAACAGGTATCAAGCATAAAAACACACAAGGAAATATTAACAGTTCCTTTTTATTACAAAAATTAAATATCACATTAAGTTTGATTTAGTCAAATGAAGCCTATCGTTTCTGCACCTGAGCAATAAATGTGCAGATAGTTTAGTTCAGGGATTGACATGCAATATCAGTCTTGAGCTGACACATCACACGATGCAGCAAAATGATTTAGTTAAGCTCATAATGTCACTTTTTCCAACGTCGTAACACAAACATATAATAAACATAAATAAAATAGCAGATAGGCGCGTTAGTTGGTGTTGATAAATATAATGATCAGATCTACAACCAGCCGTATATCGGTGGCTGTATGATATTTTCCTTTTAAATATATGCATATATAAACGTCTGTCACTTTGTACTATAGTTTCTGTCCTCTACTGAACTAAAAGTTGCAGTTTAACACAGCAGACATCTTATTTAGAAGGTGGCTGACATATACAGCTAACCTTAGTTTAATTGTAAAACATTCAAACAGAACAACAATAAAATAAACATACCAAACACTTTAGAGACAATTCCAGCAATTAACAGCTGTTATATCCTATATTCATCCGTGTGATCTAACATTGTAAATCAGCTTATTCCTTTAACCGCGTATGCTAACAAACATGCTAACAGCTAGCCGTAACCGTTCGGCTTTAGACACTGAACTATCCCATTTGATTTACTCACCTTTTGTTCTTCCATTAGTGCAATGGACGCTTCTGGTACTCTTCTGGCACGTAAAAAGTCGCTTAAATCAGACATTTTCTCCAGAACATTGGCTGTCCGCTACAACTCGCGTCTGTGTGGTTGCTGCTGGCGCCCATCAGTCCGAATTGTGACATTTTTTTTTTTTTTTTTTTGTCACAGATTTTTTTTTTTTTTTTTTTTTTTCTGGCCCACAATTTTTTTTTTTTGTCACAATTTTTTTTTTTTTTTTTTTTTCTGGACCAATTTTTTTTTTTTTTTTTTTTCTGTCACAGATTTTTTTTTTTCTGACACAGATTCTTTTTTTTTTTTTTTTTTTTTTTTTTTTTTTTCCCGGATATTTTTTTTTTCTCGGCCACAATTTTTTTTTTTTTGGGCCACAAATTTTTTTTTTCTTCTTTTTTAACCTATTCTGAACCACTGAAAAAAAAAATTTTTCGGACATTTTTTTTTTTTTTTTCCAGTGGCCCTAATCCTCTTCCGTACATATGTTATGTTAATATATTAATATGTTAATATGTACATGTACATATTACAATGTTATACTTGTTTTTTGTTTGAGGTGCTGCTGATAAACCAGTTGGAGGAGGGACTGGAACGAACCATTAATTTTAATTTTCGTTCCAAAACGCTTTTTTTAAAATTAATTAATTAATTATTATTATTATTATTATTATTTTTAAGAAACATAAATGCGTAAATAGTAAGAAGTCTGGATGTCGAATATATGACACCAAGGAGTACTGTCCTAATTCTCACTTTTTTTGCACGCTTGTAACCTGCGCACTCGTCTTCTGTGCACTTTCAGTCCATACTTCATAGAAGGGCGTAGGGCGTAGGGTGCAGTGTGCAGTGTGAGTGTTCTGGCCGGGCCTTTGAGTGGAGTGGCCACAGAAGGATGCTTGCAGCCGGATGCTCTTTTTCTCTTCTTGGCAAGTTTCAAAGTTTCGGTTCATCCCATCTAAAACACTGATACAAAAGACAATACAAAAATAATAAACAAACAAAAATCACAGTTGGTAAATGAAACAGATTAAAGAAAACAAAAACAAAAACAAAAAATGCAAGCGCGGATATTAAGACTTTTCTTTTGAAAATATTCTTACCGGAAGTCACACATTCACCGTCGCTACCTAAAGTCTTCACGGAACCAAATGCTAAAATTATTCATTGTTTAGTATCAATATATGTTACTTTTGATAAATCTGTTGTATTTTTCGATTAAGAGAGGGAAAACTGTTCTACATGACAAAGATTTGGTTGAAAAATGATAAAATACGTGCTGGGATTTGACCTAAAGTTGGTTTCGGTGTTATGAAGATTGTTGTTGACCGGACGAAAGACGTTCTAAGGTGGGAATGGTTATCAGTTGGAAACTTCTCCATTTGAATATGAAATGGCACTATGCACTAGGCAAGTGTAACACTAGCTAGTATGGACTCATACATTTGAACTACTTACTTTTTATTTATGTGCTCCATGGGTGGAACTATCATTTGTTTAAGTATTGTAAACATGGTAGCCTTTAGTGGAAGTTTTCTTGAAAATAGGGTTATATTAATGATATTTATCAACCAAATGCATGGCATTAAGAACTCACCTGCCTTGCAGTTGTAATGTGTTTAAGTAGTCCCACTTGTCTCGTCTTTCTTACAGATGCCTTCATTTGGGTTTCTGGATAAAGTGGAACATTTTTTTCAGACTGGAAAGTTTGGAGAAAATTCATCTAAAAGTTTAAAAAAAGGAATCAAAGCTGCCTGCAAACGATTCATCTACAAAGGTACTCCAAGAAGTATTCAGAATGGTGACAAAAGTGAAACTATTCATCTTGAAAAGTGCATTGCAACTTTACCCAATTTATTACAATATTAAGATAACACCTCAAATTAGATTGTCTAGATTGGTTAAAACTCTTTGATAACTTATTTCTTTTTAGTTTAAATTCAAATTCATTGTACAATAATTAACAGAAACATATTACCAGAATGCAGATTATGCCATTTGACAGTGCCATAAATTTGTGACAAAGATGGAGCCTAAGGTGTTAAATGTTTTATGAAAGGTAAGGTGACTCACATAAACACTGTAGTCACCAGCATTCTGTTAAAGTTTCAACACAGACTTGATTTGAGGAAAGTTTTTAAGTTGCTCACCAGTTTTCATAATGTACTGCTTTGGTTTGGTCTCTCACAACACTTGGGAGGGTTTGGGTTACATCTACCATAACATATAAAATGGATATTTTAAATAATACACCTCTATCCACAAGTCAAAAATAATTAAATCATTCAAACTAGCTGGGACTAAATCTGTAAAATAATCTCTCCTCCAGATGGCCTTTTGATGCGACCTTATCGAGGTCGCCTCCTTCGTGTCGTCAGAAGTGAAAAAGAGATTCGGGAGATTTTGACACGTTATCATGATGACAACAACCATGCCGGCAGAGAACGGGTAGTGAGAGAAATTATGGTGAGTGGAAATAATGTGTCATTTATCTAAAACTGTAGTAAGTGTTAAAAACAGACCTTATCTTCGTGTTTTTCCAGCTGATGTACTACTGGGTTGGAGTAACGGAGACTGTGAAGAACTGGGTCAAAGCTTGCCCAGTTTGTCACAGCCGCCCTCCTCCTCCTTTCCAACCAGCTGTTCTGTTCTGCCTGGTTTACGGTTGCGATGCCTCCAGCTACGCTTTCCCTGAGCTCACCTTTCACAGGTCAGACCTTTAACAATACAACAAAACATTTTCCTCAGCAATACATTCAACAGAATGCTAAATGTTCTCCATCAAAATCAGACGTCAATTAATTTAATTTCTAAAGAGGGATATTGAATGCATTCAAGTATCTTCAAAAAGTTGCTGTGGATGTGGATCCTGTAGGAAGAAATCGCCTCCAGTAGCAACCAGGCTTGTAAAGAATCTGAAGAGGTCTCTGACCGAAAACTGGAGCTTTTTGACAACAATATTCCACAGCAACATGTTCCTGAATACGCCATCATTTGTTGTTGAGTACGGCTAATCCAAGTCATTTACTCTTTCTGCTCCTTTAAATCTCTGTCTGGCCATGTGCTTTGAAAACTGGGCGAAGAGATGCATTTAAATCATTTGCCACTGTCAACATAATACTATTTGTATTATGTTGACGAAAAATCAAAGAGAACCATAAACTGTGTACACAAAGCTGTGTGTTGTTTTTTAATTCACTAAAGTTGTGTAGATGTGATATGGTGCTCTCCTTTGTGCCCGGCAGGTTTCCTAAGGATGAGGAGCAGCGGAAGAAGTGGCTACAGGTGGCTCAAAGGGACGAAGCCTCGCTACGCACCAACTCCTACATCTGCTCCAGACACTTTGAAATGTCCTGCTTTACACTCACTGAGGAGGGTCAGCTGGTGCTCTCTCCAGATGCTGCCCCAACCTTACTGCCTGTAACAGCCCATGGAAATGAGGTGACACTGCCGGAGCATTTTAATCAGTCAGGGCAGGTGACAGTAAAATAGATGCTAACAATGATGAGAGAAAATCAGTTTGACTTTCCTATACAGTTGTTATATTGGTAATAACATTTTTATGGTCAAAATCGCTGAATTCATGTGCTGCTTGTTGAAATACATGGGATCTATAGTGCTGAGCCCTACGACTACAAGAGTTGTTCTTCTACTCATTAAGACATTTGAAAATAAGGCCTGTGATCTGTCAGATCGTCATACGTGTAGCACAAACCGACAGCTATATGTGGCGGGGAAGTATATGCTGTGATTAGAATGTGCTTTTATTTAATCAGCAACATAACATTAGGAGTTATATCGTCATACACTTTGTTATTAACATCCCGTGTCAAAGGTTAACTAGTCAGACCATCATCAATGAGCAGGGAGGTTTTATATGGGGCATGTTTTGTAGTTGACTGCAGCTGCAGCCAGTCCCTGTTTTAAATACACTTTGAAACCATAACAATGCACGTATTTCCATCTAGTTATCATTGAAAACAATTTATTGACTTACTTTTATTGTACCTTATTGACAGCTCACAATGATCTGACAAAATACCAGAATAAAACCTTTCAAGGACTCACCTCCTTGTTAATCATCTTTATCAAAGCTGCAAGATTTTTCAAAATGAAAGAAAAATGAGAGAAAAACAAGAATATTTTCAAGACAAACTGACAGTGATATTTTTTGAGAAGGACAGGTGTTTGAACTTTATATGAAATTAAAGGCAAGATAATAGAAGAATTTCAATATTATTCTCTTGAATAATATTGAAGAAAATAAATGAAAGAACAGATTTTATGTCATTTATTATTATTACATCAGCCATAATAATGTGGCTGATGTCTCTTTTCCAAGAAATATCAACCAAGAAAACACTGAAACAAAACAAATCGGGGGCCTCATGTATAAAGTGGCGTGCGCACAAAAATGTGCGGTGTCATATTTAATGCACAAGTCAGCATGTATGACAATTAACTTTGCGTCAAAGTTTGCATAAATATAAACACAATTTTTACCGGTGTGAAAATGTGCAGCAGCCACGCAAACTTTTTCTATGAATACCAAACTACAAAGAGTCAAAACTCACCTAAATTCACAGAAATCTGACTCCATTCAGTTATTCAGACCAAAAAGCATCAAACTCGATGTTTTTCATGATTTTAATATTTTATTGTTTAAACATAAATGATGAAACTGAACTGCATTTGTCCTGAGACAATAATATAACACATAAACAAAGTAAAAACAATAAAAGAATGTGAAAACCTGGCTCTAATGTAAATAGTACTTTCCTCACGTTTTGTTTTATAAAGATGTAACACGTTTGTTTGAACGCTGAAGTGCATGAAATATATCTCTGGGATCATTTCATTCTCACTAAAAAAGAAAACAGGTTTTAAGGTGATCAAGGTGTGTATGCAATCACATGTGTATAAGTAGCTGCGGAAAGGTGAGCCGCTAACTGGAGCTTTGGCTCTGATGGAGAGCATTGCCACTGAAAGGATTCAGTAGGAGCTATTGATCAGAGATTATATTGATATGCTGGGAAATGTTGGTGATGGTTTATTAGTTTTATATTGCTCAGTTTGATCATCCTGGATCTCTGAGCAAAACTTAAAGAGCCGTGTGGTACCGATACCGGTCCAGCTGCAATCATCCTTCAGTGGAGCCGCCCGCTTTGTGAACGCACCTTATGGATATAAAGCATTCTACTATTTGAAATAAAGGTCCACCTTCCCACGCAATGACTCTCAGACACACTATCTGTCTTTAAATCCCAGCTGAATGCTCTGTTGTTCTAACAGGCATTTGCAGGATCTCTATTTATTGATTTAATTTGGATTTTTTTTTCTTTAAAATGTATTTTTATTTTTATTTATGTATGTAAAGTGACATTATGTGCTCTCAAAAAATCTTTTAGATAAAATATATAATAGTTATTATTATTATTACAACAATAAAAAACGTCCTTCAAACAAGGACATTGCCATGATTATTGCTTCACATGGTGGCAGCCCTCTGGGTTTTCATACTAATTTACATGATGTATTTATGGGTGTTGACAAAGCGGACCAGCAGCTGTGCTCTATTCCCCGCAAATTAGGATTTAAAAAGGAAAGATGTGCAGCCACGAGCTACATAACGCATGGCTTTATGCAGTCGATCTTTTTTTTTTGTGCACTACACTTTTCTAAGTTTTCCCATACACCAAGTTTTACTGTGAAAACTGTGGAAAACTGAGGCCCCAGATTTGTTAGCTTAATCTACATATATCTTTATAAGTTCTGCAACATATGGCATAGATTAAAGCTTTTATCAGTTAATTTCTACACTGAAATAAAGGGTTCAATATTGGATCTTGGATCTGAAGATCCAGTTCTGGGGGAGTTGTGCCTCATTGATCCTGACTGTCACCACACATCACTGAGTTTAATGATGTGTTTGGCATTGTTGGATAACATTAATGATTGCTCCTTTCTGTGGTATTAGATTATAGCACAGTTTCTCCATGTCTTGTTGGCCTTGTTCTTAAAAAAACTGAATATTAACAATGGTAATAAAAACAAAACCTGGATTGGACTTGGGATAGGAATGCTTGGTAAATCCATATTTGGTAACTTTGTTCAGGTGTCTGTGGAGTCAGATGAAAATTTCAGTTATTCCAACATGTGGAAAGATGAACTCAAAGAAGCCGCTGGTGCTGCAGTCATCGACCACAGCACTCATCCTGTCAGTCTGTCTGAAGCATCTATGCAGCTTCAGGAACATCAGTACTGCCTGCCAGGCCCAGCACCAGACTGCAGGGCTGCCAGAATAATGAATGAACCCCGGAGGAGGACAGCTGTTGAGCCAGGCTTCATTACTTACAACCATATTGCCAGGTATAACCATCGAATAACAACAGAGGACCAATGCAATGCTTAATGTCATTTTATCCTGTTATTTTTTCACCATACTGCAGGTACTTAAGTACCAGGGTACTACCTATGCAGGGCAAAAGAAGCAGGTCAGCTTTAAAAAGAATGGCCAAGCGTTTTGGTCTGATAGGTAAGTGGAGACAGCACCAGACTGGAATATCTCTGATTATTACATTACTATAATTATTTAATTTTAAAAGAAGCAAAACAGGGATTAAATTTTCTATTTCAGATGGACTGTTGATGTACACCAGAGTCTCTCCACCCCTCAGAGTACCACGCAGCAGAGAAGAGGTCATTTAAATTCTAATGGATCAATCAGTATTACAAAATACGTGGTTCTGTGCTTCAAAAAGGCACAGAACAACAAAGCACCAGACTGATAAAATATGTTATATATTTTAAACAAGAAAAGTTGCAAATCTAGATACATAATTATACAGCAACTCAAACCTCAAGTCTGAATCAGAATTAATCATGTTGTTGTTGTGCACAAAAGAAAACACAAAAAAATTTAAAATTAGCAACTCTTGAAGACAAGTTAAATGATTGAATAAAATAATAATAAATCAGTAATAAGTCCAGCATTTACAAAGAAGTGTAACATGAACAAAGCTGAAAGCTCTCATGTCTTCTAGGTCAATTCCATCCTACAGCAGTTTCATGACAACCAGGGCCACTATGGGCAGGGAATCTGCCAGAGACAGATCTCTAGGCACTACTACTGGGGTAGCCTGAGTCGAGACCTGGCCAGCTGGATCTCCAGCTGCCAGACGTGTGTGAACAGATCTAAAAGGAAGATGATTCGCTGCAGTGTCTCCAAGTGCACTAACCGCTGTGGCCCAGTGGAGAGAAAACTCGGACTTATTTTCCACAGGTATGACTTTACAGCACAACTAAAATCTCTTATCTCATTTATTTTTTTTGGAAAATCTTAACCATGTTGTGCTTTTCTAATTACCTTCAAAGTAGTTGTTTTTTCTGTATTTTTATTGGTGTTTTTGATCAGGTATTTTATTTACAATTGAACAGAACATTGATAAACTTGAACAGCAATAGGTAAAAAAAAATTTGACTTATAAAAGTAAAAATGGCTTTCCAAAAGTTGGTTGGGAGGAAAAAAAACATACAAATCTCATCAGTACCAGGCAAAATGTTGCCCATATCTGTAATTATCATCAACATGACACAGTCACATTTGTCGTCCATAGGCACGTTAGGGACAGAGACCATCTCAATGCAGCTCAATGTGCTAACTGTTTATCATCATTATTGGTGGCCACGATAACTAGCCTTAGCATTCATAGCATTCATAAGATCGCCTGATGGTTTCTTTGTAAACCATCTATAGAGTAACACAGAGAAGGAGGGAGGGTTTCAATATGATTCTCTATAAAACCTGAATTGTTTGAATTGTTTTTCTTTTGTTTAGATGTAATTTATTTTCTTACTTTAATATTGTCATGTTTTCCAGTCATCTGTAAAACATATTTCACAGTCATCTGAAGTCATCTCGGTGGTTTCCAGGCAGCCAACAATTGCCTCTAATAAGCTAAAGCACCTCTCGGATGGATAACTGACAGTGCCGAGATCTTCCTCTTATTGGTTGTTTTTGGTGGAGTTGTGTATTTGTGCAGAAGTATTTCTGCAAAGAAGCTATTTTTTTTATCTGTCTCATAGTGTACTATCAGGACATAGTAATAATTTTACAGCTTTAACAAATATGTAAACCTCCTCCCCCCAAAAAACCCAAGTTGTTTATAAAAGCTACATACTGCTGCTTCAAAAAACTCAATTTCATCACCGCCAAAGAGTTTGCTCACCTGATTATCATTATTCAGTTTGGCTGTCTAATAGTAATCCATTTTCATAAGACATAAGATTTTTTTGTTTTTATGTTTCTAGAACATAACAAAATTAGAAAGCTATCCTCAGTGATGAATAGATAAATAAATGAAGTCTTAAACAGTAGTCAGCAAATGGGTGTATCTGCAGGTTGGCAGCGGGGATGTAAGGTGAACAGCTCTTGGGAAAAGCTGTTCCTTAGTTGAATGGTTGTGCTCTTTTATATAACCTGTGCCATTTCCCAGCGGTACAACAGTGACCTGGGTGAGTGGAATCAGCAGCAATACAACTGGCTTTCGTTTGCAGTCTGCCAGTGTATATTAGATCCAGGTTTGATAACTGATTCCTCTTGATGCACTGGCCAGTTTTCACCATTTTGACCAAATCTTTTTTTTTTTTTTCCTGGTCTGCAGTTGCCGTACCACACAGTCATACTGAGGCAGAAAATGCTCTCTAGAAACTTTTTTTGAGGAACTGAGGAGGGAGTCAAGCCCTTTCAGTTTTCTGAGGAAGAACAGTCTTTGTTGGGGCTTCTGAGGTGATGTGGATGCCCAGGAATTCGATGTGGTTGTTTCTGTATTATCTAAAATCCTTAAAGGAGAAACATATTACTGAATGATTAGTTTCCAAAGAACAAAAAGCTATGGGAATAAAAATCATTTTAAAGGTGTGTAAGAAAAGTGCGATGAAAAGACATTCAACTTGAAATTGGTAGGCCTATCAGCAGCCAGAGTGGAAAACAAACTTTGTTCTGTGACATTTTCTGATAATATAAGAATTATTTTGACAAAATATATATTGCTGTAAAAAAATCATAACTTTATAATGAATTTGTGTTTTTGTTAATATTATGATATAGTGTAGTTGTATATCCATCTGAGATCCTCTTCTTGCAGGGTTTGCATGCTGCACTTTGTTTTTTGCTGGATATCTCATAATTGATGTATCCAAAAGAAATTACTCATGGGAGCATATCTGTTTTGAGCGTTTTTTCGTCTTTCATCCCCCTTGTTTTTTGACTTTTAAATCTTGTTAATTTGATTGGTTGTACTATAACTTATGCACACATACATACGGAGTTGTAACGTTAAAGCGAAATCAGCCTGAAGCCAAAATGCAGCCAACACAAGAGTAAGGTCCACCAAATGTATTTATTACAAAAAAAAAATAATGGTGTGGAAGGGACTGTACGAGGTGTGGTCACGCTGGTAGGTCAGGAAGGAGATATCCACAGGGGTCAGAGATTCAATTGGGGGGGGGAGAGTAGGGTGAATGGACAAAGGGAGGACTTGGGGGCCAAGGGGACAAACAGATAACAGGGACAAAATCCACCAATCAGAGGCTGAGTCATGAAATGATCCGGGGTCATGCACGGGAGGGCCACAGGCAAAGAAAAACCAGTAATCAGCAGGCTGGAGGCAGAGTCAGAGACAGGCAGGGTTCACCAACACGAGATCAGAATCTTCCAGAAGCAGAAGGACAAGGCAAAATCTGTGGTCAAGAAAGAGACAGGATCAGAAAACCAGAAAACTCTTTGAAACATGAGACAAGGCTTGAAATCTGTGACTGGGGCAACAGAAGATCTCACACTGAGCTGGTGATGAGCAGCTGTTTAAATAGGGAGCAGCACAGTGCAGGTGAGGGTAATGAGCAATCAGCACAGTCAAGGTGGAGCTGAAAGGCTGAAATCATGACAGGAGTGTCTGCCTCTGTTAATACATATTGAGTGTGATGAGTTAATGGGGCACACTTTATAATTATGTGTCTTAAACTTTGGATTTGGGTAAAATATCAAGTCTTTTCAAGTAAATGGGCTCAAGTCCAATTAAAGTCCAAAGTTATTGATGTAAAGTCCACATCTGAAAATGTTTTCCAGCTAAAATTAGCAAACGTTCAGCACTACAAGTTATATAGTATTTGGAAACCAAAAATCTGTGTTAACGTACCCTACAATGTTTGGGCCACGTGCTTTCCTCCAGCTTCAAGGCTGAAATCCTTCTCGCGACATTTGCAGCCGTCCTCCCACTGCGCCCTTTTTTGGACATCTCAGAAAAATCACAATCAGTTTGTAAACAAAAAAATTGAGCTCTCTCTTCTTCTTTGTTCTTCTTTTGTCACGGAAAAATAACAGCTCACGTTTGGGTCACACAGTAACGGAGAACAGCACATGGCACGTGGAGGAGGGGTGCTATACTCCCCACTGCCAAGAGGTGTCACCCAGATACAGACCGATCCAGGTCTGCGGAAACGGGATTACATCGTGGTAGAGCCGAGCCTGGCCGGGCTGAATAGAGCAGAGCTGCTGAAGTAGAGCCAGTGGAAAAGAGGCAAAAGATAACAATGAATTGATCAGACAGGCCATCATCAATTACAGAGAACTGAGAAATATTCTTACCCTTATGGAACTTTAATGAAGAAAAGGTGGAGAAGAGCATGGAGGGGGCAGGTGGAGGGAGACCAGTTGTTCTGTTTCCAGTTGATGTTTGTCGATTTGTTTTGGAATCGCTGGTTTCTGAGATGCAATGGGTTGCATTCTAATCAAATGTGAGTTAGCCTGTTCTCCTGAAGCAGTCATTTCATTGTTGTTATTCTTGCTTTGTCCCATATTTATTAAGAAAGGGTCCACCTGGTCTGAATGGATGATAATACTCCAAGAAGATCCTCTGGTTGTCAGTTAAGGTCACTAATCATTTGTTAATCGTAAGCAGTCTGCTATACCTTTATCTCCACATCATGCTGGTGGAATTGGTCCACTGATAAACAACTTCAGTTTTAATCTACATGTTTGTCCCTAACTGGATTGTGAGGGGTGTTGGTGCCTATTTCCAATGGTCAAGGACACCTGTTCATTGCAGTGCAACACAGAACAAACAATCATTCGCACACACACACACATCATGAGGTCTGACAATCATGTTTTGGGACTGTGGACTAAGATTCAAATCTCGGACCTTCTTGCTGCAAGGCAACAGTGCTACCAGAATTTCTGACTTTTGTTTGGCCAGATCTTTTGCTCCAATATGAACAATATTCAGCTGATCAGTGGTTAGAGAGAAAGTATTTTTTTCTATTATATGAGACACTGTGTCATTGGGGAAGAAGAGTACTTTTGTACTTATTATTGCGATGATGAGCAATAATCAGCATGAGCTTACTGCCTCATCGACAATAAGTACTTTTGGTATGTCTTCTATTTTCTTGGTGTTCACTTTGGGGGATGAATGTGCTGATCTTGCCTCACACCTCTTGATGTTTTAAGATGAGATTTATCAGCGGAATTCCCATGCAATAAGAATGTGGTATAGCTCAGGCTGGTCATTTTCCCCTTGAAAAGGAGAAAGTAAGGGGGATTATTTTGGTTTCAGTTGAAATGACTGACTCTTCTACCACACCTGTCGATGTGACCAATGCAACTAAACTGTAAAGACAAATGTTTTCTTTTCTCCTGAACATCCAGATTTCCTCTCCATAATCTGCCCCTGCTGTCTCAGTGGCTGAAGGCTTGCGGCCGGGGGAACTGGCATCCTCGACTCTGGTCCTCCATTTGTTCTGCCCATTTCACAGAGAAGTGCTACGACAGTAATGGAGAAAAAAACACTCTCCTTCCAGATGCCGTGCCCACGTTAAACATCCACAACAACTCAAAGGTGAGACATACAAAGGCATAGACGAGACTAATTTCTTTCATTTGAGCACATAGCCTGTAGCCGTTCTTCTTCTATCACCTCAGGCAGACGGTTTGACCTCACCACCAGCAGGGGAGGAGGTATGTTGCCAAGTGGGGGAACTTTTGCCAAGGACTGTATTATATGATAAAATTTTAATAATAATGTTCTGTGTGAATAGGCTTTTTTTGCAAAATATAATGCAGTGGAGCTCTACATCAGCAGACGCATTTACCCGCCTGGACTAACCTATGTAGAGAAGAACACCTTCAGGAGATTCTGCAAAAGATACACTATCATAGGTTAGTCAAGTTTTGGGATCCATTTTGTTTGACAACCTTTACACCAGATGGACTACTGCAACTTGGAAGAATAATTCAGCACACTACTTCAGATGATTAATGCACCTCTTTTAGTGATACATCTTTAATGTAGTAGGTTTGATAGAGCTGTAACTTGCCATAGTTATCTAAACTGGAACTGAGACACTCCAAACCGAATGCAGGTCTACGCAGTATAATATTCTTACTTAAGTAAGTATAGATCAGGAAATCATCTTGGGTAAACATAAAGATGTGGAAGACACTATGAGTGATGGGAAATTGCAGGACCTCTTACGATGAAGATGACACGAGTCTCTGGGGCCCCTCCTATAGTCAGGCCTGGAGGTGGGGGACATTGGTGAGTGCCTGATGGCGGGGCTTTAACCTGGATGAGCATAGCCTGAAGATGAAATATGGGTCTTTTTTCCCATGGGCACACCACCTGTGGGAGGGGCCAAAGGGATTGGGTGCAGTGTGGGAAGGGTGGTGGCCAAGGATGGGGACTGTGGGAAACCATCCCTTGGCTACAGAAGCTGACTCTCGGGACGTGGAATGTCACCTGTGGTGGGGAAGGAGCCTGAGCTGATGTATCAGGTTGAGAGGTTCCATCTGGAAATAGTCGGCCTCATCTCAATGCATGGCTGTGGTTCTGGAACCAGTCTCCTTGTGAAAGGGGCTGGACACTCTTCCACTCTGGAGTAGCTCATAGTCAGACAGGTGTGGAGCTGTCCACTTGACTACTACCTGGTGGTGTGTTGGCTCCAGTGGTGGGGGAGGATGCCTATTAACTCCCACCTCCGGGACAACTTTGAACACATTTTTCCAGAAATAGGGGACATTAAGTCTGAGTGGACCATGTTCTGCGCCTCCCATGTCAAGGCAGCTTATTGGAACTGTGACCAGAAGGTTGTTGGTGCCTGTCACGGTTGCAACCCTTGACCTTGCTGGTGAACATCTTCAGTGAGGGACAATGTCAGGCCAAAGAAGTAATCCTATTTGGCCTTTTTGACCTGTGGGATTCCAGAATCTGTAGTCCAAGTGGCATTCTACTCATATAGTAGTTCGCTACTTGTAAGCAAACGTTTGCTTCCGAGTAGCCTCTCCATAGTTCAGAAAGGCTATGGAGAAAGACTCCTTTATGGCTTTGAGGTGATTCTGATCCACCATCCGGCATCTCAGGAAGGGAAAGCAGTACAGCACCAACATATCTGAGTGGGGGTGGTTTGCTGCTGACCTCTATTTGGGACGTTGTGAACCAGAGGGCACAATACTTGGAAGACCTCCTCAATCCTACCAACATGGCTTTCATTGGGGAAATGGAGATTGGGGTCTCCTTGTCAGGCTCTTCAATCTGGTGGTTAAAGAGCTCCTCGGTGGCAAGGCCCCAGGGGTGGATGAGATTTGCCTAGATTTCCTTAAGGATCTGGATGTCATAGGGTTGTGTGGGTTAACACGAGTCTACAATATTTGGGGCACTTCCCCTGGTTTGGCACAAAGGGGGCCTGGAGGGTGTGCTCCAACTACATATTGGTCACACTCAAGCCTTCCTTTTAAGAATGTGGAGAGAAGGGTCCATTGGATAGTCGAACTTCAGATTCAGGAAGAGCGGTGTTGTTTTCATCCTAATTGTGGAACACTGGACCAGCTCTACAACCTCAGCAGGGTCCTACAGGGTGTGTGGGATTTCGGCCAACCAGTCTACAAGTGCTTTGTGGACTTGAAGAAGGTGTTTGACATTGCCCGTCATGGAGCAGGAATTTGGCAGGTGGATTAGCACAGTGACCACAGTGAAGTGGGCATTTTACCGCTTCACTGTGATGGTGCAGAGAGAGATGAGTCGAAGCTCTTGATATACGGGTCAATCTACATTTCTACCCTCATCTATGGTCATGAGCTTTGGGTCATGACAGAAACAAGGAGGTCAAGGATACAAGCAGCCGAAATGAGTTTTCTCGTGGGTGGCTGAGCTCTCCCTCAGAGATAGGGTGAGAAACTCAGTGATCTGGCATGAACTCTGAGGCGAGCCACTGCTCCTTCACATTGAGAGGAGCCAGTTGAGGTGGTTCGAGCATCTGGTTAGGATGCCTCCTTGGTGATGTACTCTGGGCACATCCCACCAGGAGGAGGCCCCGGGGAAGACCCAGGACACACTGGAGGGACAATGTTTCTCAGCTTGCCAGGGAACGCCTTGGGATTCCCCCTGAGAAGTTGGAACAAGTGGCTGGGGAGAGGGAAGTCTGGGCTTCCTTAGTTAGACTGCTACCCCTGCTATGTGACTCCGGAAAAAGGAGGGGTGGATGGTTGAATAGGTGGAAATTTTATAAACCGGTTGTATATAGAAAGAATAAAGAGCAGCAAAAGATTTGGGTCAGCAAATGATCAAAAACTGCATTTATCTTCAAACCGTCTGATCAGAGGCTTGAAATCACATATGGACACATATCTGACTTTGATCTAACTTTCTATTCTGATTCCCATCATCACTGAGGCAAAAGGTTTTTCTGTCCTTTAGTGATCAGGTGTGTTAAATGCACAGTGATGCAAAATTAAAAAACATCTGCAAAGTTGTGGGCCAACTGTGATATTTATTGATATTTATCTTCAGATATTATGATAGATCTTTTCATGTGAAAAAAAGCAAAGTGTAATACAATAAGCAGCTATGAAATTAAATGTCAAATAAAAAAACTATTTAAACTTCCATCTTAATTATTTCTGTGACATGGAATAGCAAGGAAAGGTGCACAAAGAGGAATGTGGGGGCAAGGTGCTTTTGGGTCCAGAGAGTTGTGCTAGAGCATGAGCAGCGTAACCACGACTGCATTATAGACAGTTGAGACATAAAGATATGTAGAACTATTGACTAACAGCAATTAAGACTGCTGTTTTTTGTCACAGACAGACCACAATTGAAAAAATATCCTTGCCCATAATTATGCAGTCAAGGGCCTTTTTGCTCTGCAGACCTGCCCCTATTGTACTCTGGTAGTTTTTTAAAAATATTTATTTACTGTGAACGAAGTATGACTTCAAAGGCGGGCACTGCTAAGTCAATCAAATTCCTGCTAAAGCTACCGAGGTGATCTCCTCGGACACCACTGAACAGTTTGATCTTGGTGTCCCGTTCCAGCTTTCTGTATGCACTTATCAGCAAGGAAACTGAGGAAAAAAATTACCTCAGCTTTACTTTAGCTGAAAAAAATTTTCATCTGAATGTCGTCTGTGAGATGGACTTTCATTGGTGCTCCTGAACTACCACTTGCTAGCGACACTAGATGCAGAAATCCCCTTGTTCAGAGACTTGCCAATAGAGTTGTTGCAAACAAATATTTTAGTAATTGAGTAATCTATCAATTATTCTTATGAGTTGTCAAGTAATTGAATAAAAAAAATGTGTTATGCCATTGGTAATATGGCATAGCACCATCAATATTAAATATTGCCAACATTTTATTTCAGAAATAAAAATATTGGTAAATCTGACTAAATACTGGTGTTACAATCGAATATCATTATCAGTTCAGTTTTTCATTTTTGAACATCCCTAACAGTTACTTTTCTATAATTTAACAATAACAACTCACTTTCCAAGTTAACCCTTTAGGTTAACTTGGAAAGTTCTACAAGAATCTGAAATTGTATTCAATCGACCGGTAGACCAGGGGACAAAAGTAAGAACGGGGGGCAGTGATGCAGGATATTTTCGGCACTGTCAAACTAAGAAACATGTCTACCATCCATGTACTGCCACGATGTGCTCCGCCACTCATTTGTTCAGACTGGGATGATAGGACATTTATTGTGCAGTTAATCAGTAAAGTTACACTTACACTGAAATCATCAACTACTCAGCTGCCCACCGTCTTCAGTGTATACACTCACCTGTATAAATACTCCTGTAGCACTTGCTCTTCCTGCCTTTCGCTTTGAACCAGCAGTTCCTGGAGGAGAAAGGTTGCCGTACTCCAGGCATAGCACCAGTCATTTAAGGATGCTTAGTAGTCTCCCAAAAACGATGAAAACCCGGCCTTGTCATCAATCAATGAAATCCCCACCAGCCAAACTTGAAAATTTGGACATTTTATCGTTAATGTCCAGAGACTTTAACGTCACTGTTAAAGTTCATCAACAACTCAGAGGGGAAAGTCAGAGCTCTGCACAACGCAAATAATGTTCCGGCCGGAAAACGGTGCACTAAATAATAAAACATAAATTAACGAAGCTTCAAGGCAGGTAAATTTTCCTTGAGGAATTTTAATAATTGAGGTACTTGAATCATTCTTTTAGCCCTACTTGCCAACTTCTGGTTGGTTCAAACCTAAAAATGTTAAATACATTTGCCTTTCAAATATCAGGCTGAAGTGACACCTGTATTCCCAGTGGAGCACAGAACCCAGATTCATCCTCCAGATCAATTTCACAATCCTTAAATATTTGATTATGTACAACCAATGCCGACTAGGAAGTTGTTAGACAGTATAATTCCAGCCCTTTGGCAAATAAATAACTCATAATTTAGATGCAATCATTTCATTTTATTATATGCAATTTGGGGGACTACAGTGTAGTTTTTTTTTCAGCGCAGGAAAAAGTTGCATATATTTATTTGTGGGACTTTGGTGGATGTGCCAAAAAAAATACTCAGCTGGCTTTGAAGCCAGGCTAGCTGTGCAGCGCAAAAAGGGCTTGAGGGCCATTTCTCCACCTCACACGACCTCACTCTTCCTACCCTTTGTTGGCATTAGTGGATTGTGTCAGGAGCCAGTTCATGAAGACTTGCACATCTTTGGATTCAAATTTCACCTGTGAGCTTCATTTTGACATTTATGGTCCACATACACAAGATATCTTGCATGCTGCATTAAGTTTAAAATTATTAAAACATCCTCAAACGTCAGGACAAATAAAATCTACCAAGATTAATACAAGTAACAAATAATTGACACCAGTATTTTAGCTTCTCTGCTACAACGCTGATGATTTGACCTGTCGACAGATGACAAGCTGCACATTGTGACAGGAGACCAGATGCGCTTGGTTCTGAGGAGTAGGGAGCAGGTCGAAACAGCTCTTTTGGACTTTCACAACGAACTTAACCACCTCAATGTCAACAAGTGTCTCAGACTGCTCAACGAAAGGTTTTTACATGTTTATTTTTTCCTACATGTCAGAAATTACTTGCAGTTATCATGCAATCATTGTTCAAACTTTGATGTTTTACAGGTATTACTGGCAAACAATGAAGCCTGATGTGGTTCAGTGGATCAACAACTGTTCTCGGTGCAGCCTGAAAATGAAAAAAAAACCCTGTCATCAAGCAGAGGCAGATATATCTGAGATGCAGTCTCTGACTTCTGCGCAACATGCCTCACACAGGTGATCTGGTTCCAGCCATTATATTATTGTTGAGGGCAGGAATATAACACTCCTGACACTTATTAGGACCTCTGACAAGCCTAGAAAACTTAATTTTTACTGCATTATTCATGCACAGAGTGCTTTACAGGAAAACAAAGTAAAACACAAAATGCAATAGTAAACATTTGAGCATCTCAAGCATCAACTAATCTTAATGCATTAAAAACTGTCTTGATACCAGTTTTTTTCAGTCACCAATACCAAGTAATTAACATAACTTTTGAAAATAAGTTAATTTCATTTAGAACAAGGTGGTTTAAAAAGGCATCTGCAAGTACCTAAATTGAAGTACTGGCACTTGATCTGAAAAAGACTATTTGCCTAAATTCAAATCGGCACCTCGGCCCAAATTTTGGGTTATCCTTTAGTTCGCTTTGTTTCTTCATTGACACATTTTCTAGAGCTGATCTAGCTGCCATGTCTGTTGTCGTCTCATTCCTGATCTGGAAAAATTCAAAATCACAGTAACAATCCCGGGATAACACAATTTTCTATTATTTCTTTTTCTTCTTGAAACATAAGAATATTGTACTGTTGTTTTTTTTTCTTACAAAAACAGTAAAAAAAACCCGGATGAATATGAAGCTGTCCTGGCTTCACATTCATCCGCTGTATGAGTGTTGATTCGATTCTTCATCTTTAACACTGGCTTGATCTAGTCTGAATCTCTCTCCTCTGGCTTTTTCATGACACATTTCTCCACTATCTAATCCTGTATTAAATAGTGCCCAAGTCACATGATTTTGGCAATTTTCTTGATGCATGCATGAAAACATCCACTGACTCTTCAGGGCACTGAGCTCTCTGTCTGAACGTGTGTTGACTAGGACTACATGACTCCAAGGAGTAAAGCATGCATCTAGCGCGGCAACACCCTGAGCAAAAGTACCTCTGTCTCCCAGTAAATTAACAAAAATCCTCTGCATTGGTGCTCCTATACAATGCAGCAAAGTGGTTCCCCTCACCAAATCCTATGCATGAATAGTTCCATTTGCAACTTTGAAGAAATTGTAAGAGTCATTCCACAGTTTATACTCCATGAATAAATCAGACGCCCCAAAATTCAGTGGAACTGGCGGGACCAGCTACACGGAACTGGGTCCTGGTGCAGGTGCAAACTTTGTCATAGCAGAGAAACCGTTAAATGTATTCAGTTTGGTGATATTATGTGCTTCTTGTACAGAACTGACTGCATTATTTACCTCTCTCCTTTGGCCCCTGCCATCCGCTCTCATTTTAAGATGAACCCTGATCGCCAAGTCTCTCCACAAATTCCCCTAATTGGTCCACTGCTCAAACTGGTTTCTTTCCTGTTTGTAAAGATGTCAGTTTCTCTCCAGAGTGGCACGTAACAACAATTCCCTCCACCATTCTGTCAGCATACAGTCACATACACAGAAGTCATTAAATTAAACCCAAGGCTGTCCCTTGTGTTTGTTAGCCCCTTTTGTGCTGCATATGAATCTAGGCTGAGAGGTTTTTGCATTAGCACTTCTAGCCTGAAGTTTGGAGGGGATGCATTTTTGTGGTGTAGCAAATTATTAGCTTGCCGATATTGGCATGCCCTACCTATTTCCCCCAAATATTATTGTATTGATGTGAAATTCATACCAGCAGTTCAGATTATAAGTGTGTTTATAAATAAAAGGTTATTTCACTCTTAACTCTTTATTTCTTCAAGCTAGGAGGGGGATAAATTTTTTTGGCAATATGGATTTTGAGCCTGTCGAAATATGCATGCTCTATCTATTTTCCTCAAATTTTATCCTATTAATATGAAACTCATACCAGCGGTTAAGGGAAAAAATGTGAATATGTAGAAAAAGTCATTTCACTCGTAACTGTTTCGTCAAGTTTGGAAGGGATAGTGACAGGTGTATGGGCTGCAGATGAAGAATGTATGTTTCTTGGTGTATTTGAACCTTCTTACAAGATCCACAGTCACATAGAAAAAATGATTGTGTGTACATTCTTGCCCTCATCCACCCAATAGAAAACTGCAGGGTCAGCCATGGACAGGATGCCTCCTGCATCAATCATGATTTTTACCCAGTACAGTGGTTCTCCAAATTTTTCATCTTTTCTCTTGTGTTCAGTATTTCTTCCTCAGTAGCACCTAGTTAGTAGCTTATCAGAGTGAGTACAATTTTTTTTTTACTTTATTTTTAAACTGTAATATAGAAACCTCAGTTTCTATATAAACTGACGTAATATAGAAACCCTAGTTTCTATATTACATATTTTGTTTCCAATTTTAGCTTTAACTTTATTTTTAGCTTTTTAAGGGAGTTTCCAAACTTGTCACTTGTGGGGTCTGGAGGTGCTGGTGCCTCTCCAGCTAACGTTCCGCCAGTCTGTTGCAGGGAAACACAGAGAGACAAACAGGACAAACAACCATGCACACACACACTCACACCTCGGGAGAATTTAGAAAGACCAGTTAACCTGACAGTCATGTTTTGGACTGTCGGAGGAAGTCGGAGTACCTGGAGATAATCCACACATGCACTTGGAGGACTCTGTGCAGAGTTTGTATGTATGTAAATGTATGAAGACTATGAAACAGAGGCTGCATAGTAGTGAAGTTGGTAGCACTGTTGCCTTGCAGCAAGAAGGCAACAGTGCTACCAACTTCACTACTATGCAGCCTCTGTTTCATAGTCTTCATACAGTTATTTAGTAACACAGCACTATAGTTGTCCAGCCTCTCTTGTCCACAAGCTGTCCAACAGTGTCTATTGAGCCAAAACCTTCTGTCATGAATATTTCTGCATCTTGGTGATTCTTTGTTATATAGAGGTATATTGCACTCTTCCATGTCTGTTGTGTCATCTGTAATTTTAATATTCTGAGCTTACATACTTATCCAGTGGGTTTGTACCGATCTGTGGTGTGCTGTGCCATGAAGTTTTTCTGATGAGTACTTTGCCACTAGGTTGCAATGCTCTATTGCAAACACTGACTCCTGGTTTATACCTTTTGCTGTCCACTATTTTTGGCCAAATATTTTCTTTAAAGCAGACTTTATTGAAATAAATGTTACATCTGAGAATACCATTAGAGCCAACTGTCTGTCCCTCATACCTAAACACAGTGTCCAAAAACTTTAAAGACAAAACTACATCTGGTAGCTTCATGTTGTATTTTTAACAAGTAATCCAGCTCAAAATCAACAATATAGTCTGCCATCAACATGTTCGCTTTTTTATGATCTGGTCCAAATACGATTCATAGCCTCTTTCCTTTCCCTCTATTAGGAACAAGTCATCTAGTTTAGCTGACAACGTGGTCATTCCAGTGGCTTTATTTAGGTCTTCTGGAATTTCTCTAGCAGTGTTTTGCGCTCTTCCACACAGTGCCAGGGCAACACTAAGAGCTTGCTTTTTTTTCTCCAAATCTTGTCCAAATGTTGACTTCATTCTTCCAACTTTCGTAAGGCTTTCCTTCTTCAAACATTGGCGGAACTCTAGTTACTAAACCATCATGTTAGTAAAAAAAATGTTTGTGGGAAAGGGCTTTTGTCCTTTGTTTATGAACGTTTAAATGCAAAACTGAACAATGACATTATGTGGATGGTCTTTTGTGAAAGGAAAATAATATATTTTTGTCATTCATTTAACCAATTGCACTACCATTTTGAGGTAGTTTATTGTCCTTGTGTGACAGATTATATAAAACTTGCTCTATAAAAAATTACTTGTCAGGAATGATGCCAGGCTGGTACACCTTAAAAATGAACTAGATGACCTTGTCATGTATGTAGCCATGCCACATACAAAAATATAAACACCCCATGAAAAATACAAGTCTTTTATGAACATTTGGGTTCCACAATATATACAGAAACTCAAAATATATTTCCAGTAATTATTGATCTTCATATGGCCACGATACCACGTTATTATCATGCTACGATGACAACATCATGGTATGACCATTTGTAGCTGATTGACAGTCCTTTGAACACGATAAGGGTCAGGTTGAGGAATTTGATTTTGTCCAGGTTGGCTTCTTGTAGGCGGTTAGGAACAATCTGAGGTGTGAAGCATCTGTATTGCAGATCAATAGTCTCATCAGCTGTGTGTGTCACTGGTCTGAGCCGATCCCACAGATGGACAAGCTGGATGTGGCGATCTTGTGCTGGAGATAATAAAAGAGTTTGTATTTCTGTTTAGTACACATGGCTGTATGTAACACTGTATTGCGTGCAGTCATATGTAACACAAACAGCTTCAAAGGACCTAATGACAAAATATTTATGTTTAACATAATTTCCAGATGAGTTGAACTTAGCAAAAGTACAAAAAGAGTAACACACATGAATGCTAAAGCTAAGCAATAATGCATGAAAACTAAATTGATATTATTGACTTAGTTGGAAAAATAGTAAACATGAACTAATTATTATAATTATATTTCTCTGAATTTTGGTTATGTGTCCGTCATCTGACTGTCTTTTTTTTTTTTCCATAATTGCAGTGCTGATGATGATGAAGATGATGACGATGACGGTGATGAATATGATGGCGGTGATACAGATAATGAAAATGGCTGTATAGATGGGGTTGTAGAGGAGGAGCTTACGCTGGAGTCCGTGGAGACAATGGTGGGTTTCTCCATTCATCTTGATAAAGTCAAATAAGCAACACATTCTACAGCAGGGCAGTGGTCTCTGAATGGATGCAATGATGAAAAGAAAACAAAATGAAGGTGTTGTGGCTATTTGACAATGTCAAATAACTCACGGTGATCAAAATAAAAGTTAATGTAATTCAGATAGTCACTTGATTCAGTATATGCTTCTGGTTTACACAGTTTCAAACAAATTTCCAAAACGCAACTCTTTTTCTGTTTATTCCAAGATTCCAGGAAAACTACATTGTACAAGTTCACTGGCTTCTTTGCTGGTTCTCCTGCTCTAGGGCTTCCTGTGCGCCGCTGTCACACTAAAAACTGGCATACGGACAAATTGTGAAGAGACCTGTGCCCAAAAATAATCAGATGTATGCAAAGGTGCGCATACCTGCGCACCTTTCCTTTATAAATTTAAATTTTGCAGGAAATAGAATGCTGGTCAGCCCTGTTGCCACCCATAAATACATATGTAAATTAGTATAAATACCTGGAAGGCTGTCACCACTGTGAATGCTGGCTGCTGACTGAACAAAGCTGTAACCTTGGCAATAGTCCTTGCTTTTAGCAGTGTAAGTATTTATAGTAATGGTTATTATATATTTTACTTAAATATATATATGCTTTCCAAAATAAAATCGAAAGAAAAGATTTTAAAGATAAAAATTCAAAATAGACAAAAAAGAAAAAGAATTAAAGCCGCAAGCGGCGTCGTGCGGCCCTCGCAGCCAAGCACCGCTCCGGCCTATTCTATTAAAGAATAGGCGCAAACTATACTGAATGAGAGATCAGAAGTCTATGTGTGTGTGTGTGTGTGTGTGGTGGTTGGGGGGGTGGAGGACGTAATGTGTGTGAGCTAATATTAGACTGAATGAATGACATTACATGTATGTGAAAGATTGTCATACGAGTCTGTGGTAGAAGTGTCACGAAGAGACGGGGCATAATTTGGAGATCGCATTGCGCATGTGTGCCTCTTGAATGGAGCAACATTGACAATATTTTGTGATTCGAACATTTCTTGGCATCTGGGAGCTTTCCCCATACCATGTGTTCCTGTCCATACAAAAGTGTCACAGCGCTGGTGATTCATATATTGACTGTAAATTATCACTGAGGGAATTTACACATTGTCCCTCTCAAAATGTGGCCTGTCTAGTTTCCCTGATGAGGTGAAGGGTTTGGGGCAGTCACCAAGGTCTAAATGTTAGGGCACTGATGTTTTATATACCCAGGCTGATGACATATAAAACACAAGTGATGTAGCTGGCAGTGGGCGATGGTAGAGTGAGAGCTGTCCCTGCAGATGCTACAACTTCATTAGCACTTCTGAATCCTGACATCCTCTTTCTCCAGAATGATTAACTGTGGCTTCGGAAGACAATAGGTCTTGAAGAAGTAATCAGACTAATTCAAGACATTGCCAAGCATCTCAGCCATCTTCTCCAAAGCAGTCAGTTCCTTGCTTTGTTGGGGCTGACTCACATTCTGCTTGTAGGAATGCATCATCACTTCTGCCTGAGTTCTCCCTTCTTCCTCTGTAGCATTGCTCATTACTGAAACTGTCATGTTGGATTTTAGTTTTTTTACCCACATGCAGGCCTCAAACAACAAGCCATGAGGATTAAAGTTCAAAGATTTATTTAACAGCTTTGTAAGGGTGGTGAGTCCGGGTTGTCCTCTGAGCTGGAAAACAGAGGATCGGCTCGGGTGCTGCTCGGAGAGGGGAGAGGTTTAGAAAGGAGAAGGACGGCGGGATCGTGGCAGAGGAGGGAACGAGAAGGCTTACGTGTCGTCAGGGAAGGAGGGTTGCTGAGGGAGGTGGTAGGAAGTGTTGGTGAGGAGGTCCGGCGAGGTTTTAGGGGCCGAGGCGGCAGGCAGATGTTTCCGGTCAATCCGTAGTCAGCTTGGCAGTAGGGCAGATGCAATTCCTGGCAGGATCCAACGAGACGTCTCCAATCTGTGGGAGAACACACAAAGCTTACTAGATTTTCTGTGGACCTGACTTAACAAGACTTGAGGTTTGACTCTGACCAACAAGTGGGACCATCGAGCGATGACTGGTTGCGCCACCGCTCCTTAAGAATCCTGCCGCCCATTGTAGGAGATCCGCTTCAGGTGCGCTTCAGATGCCCTCCCACGAAGATCGTCTATTACAAGAACACCCACACCAACCAAAATCCTAACAGAAACAGCTTGTCTGAAGGAGCACTCTGTTGCAGATTTACTCTGCAACAGAGTAAATCTCATCTTTAGCTGTCCAACTGTCTGCCGATTTGCTCTTCAACACAAGAGAAAGTGAAGTTCCGTTGCAGTGTCTCAAACATCAAGGCTTCTTTACTGATGTCACCTATACTTTTTCTTTGGCACTGGAGCAACTCCTCAGCTATGTCAGCTGCTTTATTCAGACAAACCCAGTGATCAATTGGACTCTCATTAGCACTGGGAAGTGTAGAAGTCAGTAAGAGACATGCAATTAGTATGTGATGTCACTGAAGTGTTGTTTGAGAGTAGCATAAATTGCTTCAGGCCGCTGATCAACACTGAGCGAAGGGTCACTGCGTGTGTCTATTCTCACTACATTTCTGGCTCTTCCCATTAACTTGTCCATAATCTCACCAGGCTGATCTGTAATGCTTACATGCTAACATTCTTATTTTTCAAATACATTGACATCAGCTTGACCCATTCAAAAACACAACATTTGCCATTCACGTCCCCACAAAAAGTAGAGGGTTCTTTATAATTACTATTTTATATATATATATATATATATATCTATATATATATATATATATATATATATATATATATATATATCTATATATATAGATAATCTATATATATAGATATATCTATATATATAGATATCTATATATATATAGATATCTATATATATATAGATATCTATATATATATATATATATATATATATATATATAGAGAGAGAGAGATGTATGGGGTATTGTACACTATTGTCATGTCAGCAATGCCTTAGACCTCCCATATTAGTACGAAACCACTTGCATTGTATATGTAGTAGTTATTTTTTGACATGGTTTGTATTTTTTTTTTTATCTAACAAATGAGCACATTGTGTGTTCTCTAAGACAAATTTAAACTAGGTGTATTATGTGCTCAGCACTCGCAGGCTGCCCCAGTTAACAAACACCTGGTGGAACTGAGTGGGAAGGGGAGCTGCTCTGTGAGACAGAACCTCAGTAACTTGTAAACTGCAGCTTCAAGGAAGAGCTTTGTGGAAATAAGGTGGTTGCCACAGGAGCTTGAAGGATTTGTCAAACATGCATGAAAGAATGAAATCAACACTCTAGCTATGGGTTTGTTTGTTTGTTTGTTTGTTTCTTATAAAGGAATCAGTCAATTTTACATAAAATGTTTTTTTGTGGAGCCAGAGTTAAACAAATTAAAGTGTTTGTCAGTGACTTTCATTTTCATAAATGGTTCAGTGTCAGCCTTATTAATATGGTGCATGTGGCATTGTGATGCTTGTCATTGTAAGTTTCAAACTGTAATGAGACATGCTAACAACCTTTTCTTGCTGGATATTCTGTCTACAATCAGGTTTAGCAGGTTCTAATACATATAGTAGTTTGAGCTGGTAATCTATTCCATGTTCTTGTTCTAAGTGGTAATGAACATCTGATTTTATTAGGTTTTAAAACCTATCATTATAGCAAACTTAATGTATGATCATGGAGCTGATACCTTTGTTTTGCCTTCTAATCCAGTCTGTGGAGACTCCACCATTCCCTGTGTCCTCCAGTATACTTCCTCCCAATCCGCAGCCAAGAATTCCCATACTTATCCATTTGAAAACCCCCTGTCAACTTCAGAACAAAGCATCTATCATTCTCCAACCCAGGATTCCCAACTCAACCCTTGTTGCCAGGATGTGGCCGAACAAAATGATGACTACTGTACATCCTGATACATTCAGCAGCTGTGACGTTCAATCCAGTAACCAGAGTCTGTCAAACAAGCCAGGTGAACCTGAAGATCCCAAAGGAACAATTAGCTCTGAAAACATTATTAATGTGCATCATTTCATCAAAGAGCAGAGTACAGCTGTCCCAGCCCTTGTACAGCCACATCCTCCTTCTGAACAAACTCAAACTCAAAATAACAGTCATGGACAAAAGATCAAAAAATTCAGAGATTCCCAGAGCCAGCGACTACACCAGAGCTCTGTAAAGAGGAAGAGAGGTACGCAGGGAGACAGTTTCCTTCAAGGAAGTTCCAGCTGTGGTCTAGAGCCAGTCGTGGCTTCAAGCTCCAAACCCTGGCCTGTTTTCACCATCGCCAACTCTGAGGTGGCACAGGAAGCTCAGCTATCTCCCACAGTGTATAGGTTGGATACGAAACTACTTTTTGCTTTATTTTGCACTTTTTTAATGTTAAGTCAACTTTACACAGCTTTCCTTTGTATTTGTGTGCATCAACAGTCCACCTGTGCGTCACAAATCCAAAAGTCTTCAGGCCCGGACCATTATCCAGCAGTGCAGCCAGGCCAAAGTTAAGGTCAGACCAGCAGTAGATGGTGCTGATGCTGACTGGGTCCAGGTGAGTGAGTCATTCTGTAATTGCTTCAAGTATGCGTAGCAATATATATTGTTGTGCTCCCTTTACTTAATGCTATTTAAATAGAACAGCCACCACCAGCATTCGGTCAAGAATGATAAAAACGTTTTCAGGTCTTGATTTCCTTTTATAGATATGAGAGTGATCTACAAAAAATACAAAGGACAAACAAATAAAAGCTATTATTTTCACTCACCACAAACAGCTATTACCAATTTGTCCAGTAGATGAGGGACAACAAACAAACTACAAATCACGTCATCATAACCTTAACTCTTTAAACTGTCATACTGTATATTTAAGGTGCACCGATAAACAAATCTTGCTTAAATAATGATTAAACTTACTTTCTTCATTTACGCACTCCCAATCTCTGGAAAAACAACTCTGGAAGGCTTTCTAACCATTACTTAGTCAACAACTAACAACCAATCAGAGTGAAGCTTATTCAGATGGCTCCCTGAGCTCGTAAAGTGATATACACAGTTAAATAAGTCCATTTTCAACATATATATATATTTATTTATTTATTTATTTTTCATTATAAAAACTCAACATGTTGTGTTCAAATGATAGCAGTCCCAAATCACTAGCTAGATAAATCACTGTTTTTGTGTTAAAAAAAATAGCAGTGCTGAGTTCAATTAGTGAGGTCATTGATAATGTGAAAAAACAGATATTAAACAGGTGATCCTTATGCAAAAATTAAAGCACCTGACGGCGCTGGATGTGCATTTGTTCTTGAAAAACAGAGTAACATGGGTCATGCAAGACACTGCTCAGAAGAAGAGCGTTCTTTAATCAAAAAATTAACAAAAGAGGCGAAAACCTCTAAAGAAGTGTAGAGTGTTCATCTAAAATGGTATAAAATGCTTTAAAATGGCAGCCAAAACCAGAAAGTTGAGGAAGAAATAGAGAAACTATTCCAATGGAATGGTCTGTAACCAAAATGGCAAAGGCTCAGCCAATAATCAGCTCCAGGAGGATCAAAGAAGATCTGGGATTGGCTGTGAGAACTGCAACAATCAGATAACATCTATGTGAAGCCAAGCTACCACCAAGAAGCCCCCACAACCTCCCATTGTTGAAAAAAAAAAAAGTGGATACAATTTGCCAAAGAACATATTGACTGGTCTAAAAAGAAATGGTGTAAAATTTTGTGGTCTGATGAAAGTACAATTGTTCTTTTTGGTTCTACGGGCCACAGACAGTTTGTCAGACGTCCTGCAAACTCTGAATTCAAGCCACAGTGAAGACGATTAAGCACATGATATGGGGAGGTTCCTCATGGTGTTGGTCCTTTGAATCAAACCAGGGATTATGGATCAGTTTGAGTCCAGGATACTGGAATAAGTCATAATGCCATATGCTGAAGAGGAAATGCCCTTGAAATGGATGTTTCAACAAGACAATGACCTCAGACACACCAGCAATCGAGCAAAATTATGGTTCCAGACAAACAGAATTCAAGTAATGGAGTGGCCATCACAATTCCCAGACCTTCATCCCATAAAAAACTTGAGGGCTGACATAAAAAATGCTGTTCATGAGGCAAAACCAAGAAATACAGAGGAATTGTGAAACTTAGTACAGTTGTCCTGGGCTGCAGAACCTGCTGGCTGGTGCCAGAAGTTGGTCAGATCCATGGACCACAGATGTGAAGTAGTTATGAGAAATCGTCATTATGCAACTAAATATTAGTGTTTTAGTTTATATAGTTTGTTATAAAAAAAGACATCAACACTGCAGTTTTTCTGAACATTGTATTTCTTGACTTTTTGTAAAATATTGTAATATTCACTTACTTTTTCCACTTTTTATCTCTAGGGACAATTGCAGTGCCCCCAGTGCAACTGTGTTCATTAAAATACAATTTATTTGATGAATTTAGCAGTTTACTCACATTTTTAAATACACTCCTATTATTATGAACATAAAAGTCACTCAGTTCAGAAGAAGTCTTCTTTGATCAAAAAATTAAAGAACGCTCTTATATAATTATTTTTATAAAATAATTTTTTCAAATAATTATTTAAAAAATGTAATAACTAATTTTTTAAAATATATTTTATTTAACATTCAACCGTGTATCAATCCAATTCAGAAATACATAAAAAGATAAATGTCCTTGTAGAGTTATACAAGCTGTTTAAATAACATTAAATATTGAATTCCATTCTAAATGTTATATGAATAACATTATTAACATTAAATAATATCTACTCTACCTAAAGTCAACAACTGTTCCCTCACAATTGACAGTTCTCTGCTCTCTCAAGTTAACAGTCTGGGTGTCATTCTTGACAGTACTTTCTCTTTTCACTCTCATATTGATAATATTTTCTAGTTTAACTAACTTCATCCGTCCCTCTCCCTGCTCTTTGCTTCCTTATTGGTCCAATTCCTCTCATTGATTCCTGTAATTCCCTCCTGGTTGTTCTGTCTCATAAATCAATCTGTAAACTTCAACTGCTTCCAATCTCTGCTGCTCGCATCGTCACCAAAACGGCCTCATTTCACCACATCGCTCCAATTTTACAACAGCATCACTGGCTTCCTGTTTTTTCAGAATTCAATTTAAAATCCTGTTGCTTACATCCGAGGCAGTTCACAACCTTTCCTCCTTATCTGCCTGATCTTCTGCACATCACTCACGTTTCCTTCGTTCTTCCTCTTCCATCAACACTTGTCTGACTCATCAAATGGGAAGAAGAACCTTCTTACTCTGCTCCCCGACTCTGGAACGCTCTTCCCCCTGACATCCGTAATATTGACTCTGTGCTGACCTTGAAAGCACAACTCAAAACTCGTCTGTTCCAGTTAACCTTTCTCACTTTACAACATTAAAAACACAAATTAAACAGTTTTGTGTCTTGTAGTTACAAGACACAAAACAACAAAATAACTACACAGTTAAAGTGGTGTTTTTAAAGGTGATGTCAAATACAATGCATTATTATTAGTAGTAGTAATATTTCCAGGAAAATAGTCTGTGTGCATTACGCGACTTATAAATGTGCCATTGCATATATACATATACGTATAGCGCTGAGTGGAGCGCTAAACATAAACAGACATGAGATGTCTGTTCACACTGCTTCTCATTATAAAAACTACACAGCGTGGAAAAAAATTGCTAAGCGAAGAAAATAACATTTTGTTCAGGCCAACTTAGTTACATAAGAAATAGTTCTTGGTTGTTTAAAAGCTAGATTCTGGGCCCAAAAGTCAATAAATTCTGCTCATAAAATTGCATTATTATTCTCTCTCATTCTGACTTCATTGCATTGAAAGATAATGCCAATGGATCCAGTTTGTACTTTAAAATGGTTGAAACAAGTCCATCCAGCACATGAGTTTTTTTTTTTTTTAATAAGCTCTTTATTATTATCAACATATACACCAAACATGTAATCGGCCTCAAATGTACATAAAATCTGAAAAAACCTGATGAAGCCGATCTCGGCTGCTTCCATACAGACAAAAAGGAGGAAAGAAAATAACAAAACAAAACAAAAAGACATACATTAGGGGTTTTCCAGCAATTTCATAGTGATTATCATATCATGCAGTTCTGTATCTTGACCTTTGTTCATGAATTTCAGCGATAAGAAGAGGTGGCAGAGTTCCTTGTGAAAGATGGGGAAAGATGGTAGCACATGAGTTATGGAGCTTCAGTCACTCTTCTGCCACATTCAAGATGGCGACAATGCAATGTTCAATGCAATGTTCAATGATGGGTCTACATATTCATGCCCAGGTCTCCCACCTTGACTCCCTGGAGACCTGTGGCACATCTGAGCTTCCGAGAGCACACATCACCCAGATGTCCATAGCTGCCTGCAGAGAATGTAGCTTGTTACACTGTGAGGCTCTTCTTACAAGGTGCCTTAACTCTGGCTACTCAAACTTGGTCACTCCGGTTGAGTAGCAATGCCTACACTAAGCTCAATACAATCCAGACACTCTTCATTTTGTTCCACAGTGTTGTAGAACTCCAAGAAACTATTGAGACCCAGTTCCCTCTATGTCTCACCTCTGACAGAACCTGACCTGTAGTATTCCTGTTTAAGTTAACCTGTTGTTAACTTAAATATTGCCAACTCTGTTATATCCCAATTAGTAAGTTTCTTTGGATAAGTGTTTAAAAATGCATAAAGAAACTTGTTTTGTTTTGTTTTCCTTCCTGTTTCTATTTTCATTATCAGAAATGATATTGTGTCTTTCTTTAGATTAAACAGGGATTGGTTGTATATGTGTGCTTCTTTCAAGGAGCTACAGAGGAGATCACACATGAGATGGGTGAGATGTCTTTCAAATTCAGCTTTTTTCATAGACTTTAAGAATTGTCTTTAGATTTTATTTAAATTAACATTCTTTGTAGATCTGAATAAATAATATTATATACAGTTTTTGCTTGTCACTGACAGAATGGTTACAGTTGAGGCAAGTGTTGACAGTTGCCTTAAACAAGTCCAGGTTTCATCATTAAGCGAGGCCATTCATTTTCTCTTGCTATAGAAGTACATTTCAGTTGATTAAATGTTAAAAACGTCAAGGTTATAACAGAATTAATACATATCCCAACTTATTAGTGTCCCACTAAAAATGTCTCAATTTACTTTAACTTGCTATTTAAATGTACTCACCCCTATCGTTTCCATATTTTTCTCAACAGCCGACAAGTTCATGTCCACTAAAGTTTTTCGAAAAGACAGGCACACTGTGTCAGTTCTCGACCTTCCTGGGAGTGTTTTACTGGTTCCCCAAGACTCTCTGGTGGGTGAGCCACTGGTCAATAGAAGAATGCAGTACAAAGACAGATGTGAGCCTTGGCTGGGGGCTCAGCTTTTCTCAAGCCTAGTTGGAGCCTGTAGAAAGCTCATGTCAGAATCAGCCAAGTGCACAAAGGAGGGCATGAAGGTGGAGCATGGAGTCTATGGGCAGAAACAAGAGATCAGCATCCAATCTCTGGAGCCGCTATCAGTGCTCCTGGAGTTCTGAGACTCACCTGAGACCTTCCTACAACTTCAGTCCTGTCCTCAAGAAAAAGTCTTAGGGAGGCTTTTCATTAAACCTACAGTAACAATAATAGAACTTACTTTGCTGAGCACTACAGAGGACTTGCAGAGAACATTAGATTCCATATCAAATGTGATCCAGTCTTTAAAGTACTGTTATGTCACAATATGAAGGCTGCATTTGTTGTATAAAGCATAGTTCCTCTCAAATTTCTGGCATGTCCAATGTCTACCTCATTGTTTTGCTAACCCTTTTGCACATGGATCAACACAAAAAAATGTTTTCAGAGGTTTAAAATATGAGACGTTCCTAACTTTAAGTGGTTTGAGGTTTGAGCTGAGAAAAATTCTAAGGATAAATGTATATTATTTTTCATGCTACTTTACTATTTAGAGAAAATCACAATGTTCAAAATTTGTTGTAAAAATGAAAATGCATTCTGAATTTATGTAATGCATAACATCACAAATAAAATGTTTCTTTTGCATGTTGCACGTGTTTGAACTGAAAAGGAGAAGCAGGCATTCGGTGTGATGCTCCAGTCTGAACTCAAGATGTCTAATTGATTTCATTGGATTCATTTCGAGTAATTCTGAAAAACAGGCAACGAGATTCTATAAAAAAGTGTCACTGCTTTTAAATTGTTTTCTATTGTTTTGTGCATATGGATTAATTGGTTTTATTTTGTAACCAGGTGTGTTGCAGACTTCTGCAACACACTATTATTTAAACCCTCAACAGGGTTTAAATAATAAAAACAAATATTTACACCTACAAAAGCACAAATACATGATTTATTAACCAACTTGAAATAAAATCCATTCTTGATTACTAAAGCTGTTGGTTAGATGCCAGGTCTTATTGAACAATCTAATATCCATCTTACAGTAGGAGGAAAAATGTTTTTGATGCAGAACCGATTTTCCAGGTTTCTTTAGAACAAGTATATTCATAAGATATCAAATTTGAAAGTGATTAAAAAACAAAATGTGTCCAGTTTTTAAAGGGGGAATACTATGTATTTAGGTGTGACCTATGTGAATCCGGTGGCTTCTCTTGGAGAATTAAAGAACAACTGATGCCAACTTGAGCTCTGGTCGTTCATTGCGACACCATCTGCATTTCACATAATGGGCATTGAGGTAACAAGCTTCTTGACAATGATCCTCATAGCTCTGAGGATTACCCATAATACAGTACAGTCAAATTATTAAAAAATTACAGTGATCACATAGTGGATTTTGTTTACAGTGAAGGAACAACCAGTGAGTGTTTTTTTTTCAAGAAGATAAGGCAATTAATTAAAATGCTCTGAAAAAACTAAATGCTGAAATTTTATTTACTGGATGCCATATAAACTTGCATCTTGTAAAAATGCAGAAACATAAATGAACCATATCTATATAAATGAGTTAATATAAAACTCAGCCTTATATACTCTGATGAGAATTAGCTTTGTTCTTTGTTATGCTAACTCACATCCTAATGTGATACTAAAATCTGAAATATTTTATGTGAAAATGTATTTGAAGAACATTTCAATCTGCTCCAACAGATTTGATAAAACATGTCTGCATTTCACCTAATGGGCATCAAGGTAAGGTCAGAGGTCAGTCTCCAGCACAAAACAAGCTCCTGCGTAGGAAATTCCTGTCAGTTTCTCACAAACCTAACATTCAAACAAGACAAAAACAATATAACAGAACTAGCATGACCTAAATTAAACATATTTCAATAAGATGCAAAAACGAAAATCATAAACATATTTTATAAAATGCATAAATTGTTTGTCTTTCACATATGAGACGTTATCTCGACAGTGATCCTCATAGCTCTGAGGATTACCCATAATACCTCGCTCTTTCTGAGGTGAATGCAATATAACTTTTTACCAGCAGATGGTGCATTTTAGCAGAATTTAACCTGAACCATTTTAACTATGTCACATATGTATTTGAATAAAATACATATAGTGTCATTTTATTCTAGTAACAGTTTCATTTTATTCAGCTATAATAAAATGTTATAAACACTTAGAAGAAATTACTTTTCAAAAATTATTTAGTGCTTTGAAATTGGGAGTATATCTAATAAACTCATGGTCTTTCAGACAACCGTCTTCAGCACGTCACCACAACGTTTTTCCATTATATACATTCCTAGGAGCGTTGGGCTGAGAGAAACTCTCTTCCCTGAGATCAGGTCCAGAACCTGCTTTCTGATGATCCAGATCCCCGGCTCCAGAAGTGTATAGGTTTATTTTGGAGGGGAGGGGGATGATGGTAGACTTAACAAGCTTTTGCTTTAATATAAATGCAGAAACAAATCTTTATGTAACTTTTCAAATAGGACAACTATGTTTATTGCAAAATAAAGAAGGATATAAACAGTGACATGTATAAAATGTGGCGCAGTTGGTCGCACTGTTGCCTTGCAGCAAGAAGGTCCTGGGTTCGAGTCCTGGCCCGGGGTCTTTCTGCACGGAGTCCCTGTGCATGTCTGGATTCTCTCCAGGTACTCTGGCTTCCTCCCACAGTCCAGAAACATGACTGTTAGGTTAATTGGTCTTTCCCAAATTCTCCCTAGGTATGAATGTGTGATTTGTCCTGTTTGTTTCTATGTTGCCCTGCGGCAGACTGGCGACCTGTCCAGGGTGAACCTCGCACCTCCCGACCCCAATAAGGACAAGGGTGAACAGATAATGAATGGATGTATAAAATGTTGAGTTGCATAAGCAATGCTCAAGTAAGAGTAACCATGATGTTACTCAAAAGAAAAAAAGAACATAGCAGTGAAAATACTCTTACCTTTTTCTTACAAAAAGTTACTCAAGTGAATGTAAACAGTACTACCCACTTTTGAACACAGATAAAAAATCCTAGCAGTCCATTCTTAACAAGCTTCACGTGATATAGTAGGATCAGCTAGTCATCATATCCAGGAGCATTAATGGGCTGGTTTGAGGAGAACTGTGTGAAGTTCTTTGCTGCCATGACTGTAAGAACTTGTGAAGTTCTGCACAGCAGCAGCATGTCTCTGTTGCAGCTGCACAGCGACGCCAGCGTCTTGGAGCTCATGTTGCGTCTATATGTGACTTGGAAAAACATGTTATGACTGACTGTAATGAATTAATGGGTCCACTTTATAAATATGTGTTTTACACTTCATGTTTTGGGTAAAATATCTAGACTTTGATTTGAACATATTTACTTGAAAACACTTAAGTCTTAACATTAATTGACTCAGTCTGACTCAAGTCCAAGTCATGTGACTAGATTTCCCATCTCTGTGTAATTTAAGTTATGCTTCTTGTTTTGTATCAAATGAGTCTTCATGGGTAAATGTGTACTCTGATAATGTAACAACGAACATTTAGGAAAACTTATCCCAGAATTCTGCAACACACAGGTAGACTGCTGCATTGTTCCATGTAGGAATCTGTAGATTTTAGAGTTTGAGTCCCAGAACCGTCTCCTGACGCTTGCCACTTGACTTTTCTGACAGTCACAGAAATCTGTTAGAGCCTGTATTTAATCATCTAAATGCTCCCTATAAATCCTCAGCCATTAATATGAATGTCAATTTATTAAGAAATGCATACATACAGAATTCAAATGTTTCATTTTAGGAAAGCTGGCAACCACTGCAGCTTTGACCTTTGAACTTTGTTTTTGACTCCGTCCTTGAGCATTGCACTTTATGAACCATTCTGGTCTTGCCCTATATAAAGCAGATCAGTCCCCCTCCCACAAACAGTCACACTCTCTGAGAAGGTTTCTCTGGCGCATTGTGGTGATAACAGTGATCCTGTTCTCTGATAGATCCCGAAGCTCATTGATGAGCTCCTGCACACAGGGGCTGGGCCACGGGTGGCCATTCAGGTAATCCCTCAGAATGAAGGAGCGCTCCACCAGCAGCTCCAGCTGCACCAGGTGTCGCAGTTTGTGGAGACTAAGCAGATCTTTCTCCGGCTCCCGGCGAAAAAATCTGCAGATGAGATGGGAAACATGTTAAAGGTTGAAGAAAATAAACAGAGCTGTTCATTTTTTAGGGATTGTTCAGATCACACCTAAAACACTGAGAGGCACTCAGTGTTTGTTCAAAATGTGTTCTTTTTGAACAAATCAAAGCACAATTCACAGCACTGAAAGGTCATAGGTCGTCCACAATGACATGGGATAGTGATTAAGGCAGATACTAGATCATAAGGGCTATTGAGTTTACCCCTTGATAATTGTTGAATTATCAAGGGGTAGTGATCAGTCAAAGAAAGTGATCAGTCAGAAAGTCCATATACTTTGTTGAGGTGATTGTCACACCTTCAGGGACTCCAAAGGGGCCAACCAGCTCTTGGGCCCAAAGCATGACTCCACCACCTCCTTGCTGACATCACAGCCATGTTGGGATGTGATGGCCGTCCACCACCAGTCCACTACTGCGTCCATCTGGACCATCCATCGATGACTGCAGTCCAACGCTGCAGTCATTGCAGGTCTATATGAAAATGAATCTTCATGTACGGCTGTGCCCACTGCCACCGTTTCTGCTTGTGAGCTCTGGTTAGGGGCCAATAGTAGGTTGATGTGCCACAAGCTTCTGGAGGATCCTCCGCCTTGAGGTTCAAGAGGCAGCAGCAGCAGCAGCAGCTTCAAATATCTGTTTGCTGCTTTGTAAGGGCATTTTAACAGCTGCTCTCTTACTCCCATGAATTTGTCTGATAGAAACTTTCCTAATTATGCCTTTATCTGTACAAACCATCTTTGTTCTGAATCAGCCACAAATCTCTTCAAAGTACGATAATGCAATACTATCTATAAATTTAATAGCACAACAAAAAAAATCATCTTTGTGACACTTAAGTCCAATTTGCATAATAATTTGGTACATAGTGCATAACATGATGGAAAGCTCACAAAGGCAATTTTATAAGTCCTCCATTTCTCTTTTTGAACAAATTATGTTATTTTTTTAGATTCCTTTAATTGTATTCAATAGACAACACAGGGTCCGTGTTCTCACAGACCTTGAAAATATGATTTTATGATTTATTACATTTTTCCCCCATTCTATGAATAAAACTATATAAAACTAACTAAAACTTAATGTAGCAATAGTCAACATACTAATGATTTACCTTTAAATCTAAGTGTGTATTCCAAGTAGACAAGTAACAAGTATCCAAATGTTGCCACTCACCTTATTCTAAGAGTCTTGAGATGAGGAAATAGCATGGGGATCCGTCTGCAGAGGCTTCCACTAGAACGGTTCTGCTCAATGTCCAGGTGCTCCAGTCCTGGAACTTTAGGAGCAATGGAGTCCATGTCTTTCAGAGTTATGGCTACTCGCAGTGTCAGCCTGGTTACACTGGGTGGGATGGTGGTTGTATATGTAGCAAGGGAGTTCCCACCTTCAGGAATATTAGGACATTTCCTCTCAGAACCAACACAATGATTGTGCCAAATTCAATAAAAACATCAAATTCTAC